GAAAATGTCTGTCGCACTGGGGTGAGAGTGTAGTGCAGTCCAGTGCAGACCAGGCCTCAGCAAACCAGGAACAGGCTTTGGTGTAAATGAATAAGTAGCTGCAGTGGCCGCTTCCAGAGCTCTCATTCCACAGATGGGAAGAGGATCAAACAACTGGTCAGAAGGAGATTACAGGAGTCTCTTTGCTGGCACTGGGGGCAGGACTCTATGGCTTTGCCCATATTCAGATCCATGTTGCAGTCCTAGGTGGCAGTCCCAGGATGAGGAGGAGCACTAGCACATCAGACTTTGCAGCTGTCGTAGAACAGGGACCCTCATCACAGTTCCAGGTCAGAAAAGAGTACTTGTAGTCACTCATAGACCAGAGCACAGGTCAGAAGAGTAGTAAACACACTTCTCCCTACTTAGATCATACCACCTTAGAAAAACTGAAAACTTGCAGATCACTAAGTATCTCTGAAAACAGCTGCACAAACCCCCCTAAAGTTTGGGATAGTGCACCCTCCACCCTGGAAGCAGAGCCCCACTTTAGCAAAGAAGTTAAAAGTCAAGAAATAGGCTAGGAAAATGAACAAATAACAGAAAAAAATTCTGGTCATAGGAAGATCGAAAAACCTACTCAGAAAAAGACAGTCAAAATTCCTACATCTAAAGCCTCCATGAAAAATATGAATTGGCCTCAGGCCAGGGAAGAGCTCAGAAGGGATTTTAAAAATCAAGTAAGAGAGGTAGAGCAAAAATTGGGAAGAGAAATTGAGAATGATACAAGAAAATTATGAAAAAAGAATCAACTGCTTAAGGAGGCACAAAATAAGCCAAATGGTAAAAGAAGTACAAATGAGGAGAAGAATGCCTTGAAAAGCAGAATTGGCCAAGTGAAAAATGTGGTACAAAACCTCACTGAAGAAAGTAATTCTTTAAAAATTAGAATTAAGCAAGTGGAAGCTAATGACTCTATGAGACATCAAGAAACAATAAAACAAAACCAAAAGAATGAACAAATAGAAGACAATGTGAAATGTCTTATTAGAAAAACACTGACCTGGAAAACAGATACAGGAGAGATAATTTAAAAATTATTAGACTTCCTGAAAGTCATGATCAAAAAAAGAGGCTAGACAGCATCGTTCAAGAGAATATCAAGGAAAAACTGCCCTGATATTCTAGAACCAGAGCATAAAATAGAAATTGAAAGAATCCACTGATCACTTCCTGAAAGAGATCTCAAAATGAAAACTCCCAGGAATATTATAGCCAAATTCCAAAGCTCCCAAGTTAAGGAGAAAATATCACAAGCAGCCGGAAAAAAACAGTTCAAGTATTGTGAAACCATGGTCAGGATAACACAAGATTTAGCAGCTTCTACATTATAAGATCAGTGGGCTTGGAATTTGATAATCTAGAGGTTAAAGAAGCTAGGATTACAATAAAGAATCACCTACCCAGCAAAACTGAGTATAATCCTTCAGGGGAAAAACGGACATGTAATGAAACAGAGGACTTTCAAGCATTCTTAATGAAAAGATTAGTGCTGAATAGAAAATTTACCTTCTGTATACAAGACTCAAGTGAAGCATAAAAAGATAAACAGGAAAGGGAAATCATAAGAAGTTTAATAAGGTTAAACTGTTTACATTCCTACATGGGAAGATGGTACTTGTAACTCATAAAAACTTTCTCGTTATTAGTGTTGTTAGAGGGAGTATATATAGACAGAAGGCACAGGTGTAAGTTGAATATGATGGGATGATATCTTTAAAAATAAAATTAAGTGGTGAGAAAGGGGAATGCACTGGGAGAAAGGGAAAGGGAGAGGTAGAATGGGGTAAATTGTCTCACATAAAAGGGGCAAGAGAGAGTGAAGGGGAAGATGGGGAGGTGGCGGGGAACATTTGAACCTTGCTCTCATCAGAATTGCTCAAAGGGAATAACATGCATACGTAATTGGGCATAGAAATCTATCTTACCCTACAGGAAAGTAGGAGGGGAAGGGGATAAGAGAAGTAGGAGACAGTGATAAAAAGGAGAGCAGACTGGAGGAGGAGGTAGCAGAAGCAAAACACTTTTGAGGAGGGACAAGGTGAAAGGAGAGAGAAAGAATGGAATAAATGGAGGAAATAGGATGGAAATACATACCTGTGAAAACCATTTTGAAGCCGGTTTCTCTGATAAAAGCCTCATCTCTCAAATATATAGAGAAATGAGTCAAATTTATTAAAAAAATGATCCATTCCCCAATTGACAAATGATCAAAAATATGAACAGTTTTCAGATAAAGTAATCAAAGCTACATATAGCCATATGAAAAAATGCTCTAAATCACTACTGATTAGATAAATGCAAATTAAAACAATACTGAGGTACTACCTCACACCTATTAGATTGGCTAATAGGACAGAAAAGGAGAATGATAAATGTTGGAGGAGACATAATAAAATTAAGACAGTAATGCACCATTTCTGGAGTTGTGAACTAATTCAACCATTATGTAGAGCAATTTGGAACTATGCCCAAATATTTATAGCAGCTCTTTTCTGGTGGCAAGCAATTGGAAATTGAGGGGAAATTGGGGAATGACGGAACAATTTATGATTGTGATGGAAAACTATTGCAATATAAGAAATGGTGAGGTTGATGCTCTCAGAAAAACCTGGAGAGACTTACATGAACTGATGCAAAGTGAAATGAGCAGAACCAGGAGAACATTGTACATAGTAACAACAATATTGTAAGATGACCAATTGTGAATGAGGTAGCTATTCTAAGCAATACAGTGATCCACGACAACTCTGAAGGACTTATCATGAAAAATGTTATCCATCCCCAGAAAAAGAACTGATGGAATCTGAATACAGATTGAAGCATTTTTTTTACTTCCTTTATTTTTCTTGAGTTTTTATTTGGCCTAATGTTTTCTTTTACAACATGACTAATATGGAAATATGTTTTGCATGATTACACATGTATAACCTATATCAAATTGCTTGCCTTCTCAATGAGGGGGGCAGAGAGAGAGGGAGAGAATTTGAAACTGTTTTAAAAATGAATAATGAAAATTGGTTTTACATGTGATTGGGGAAAAATAAAATATTAAATTTAAAAAGGAATTTTTTTAATTTCAAAATTTACTCCCCATGTGACCTTTAATTTTTCTGGGTCTCAGTTTCCAAATTTCTAAAATCATGATCTGAGGCCCCTTCCAGCTTTCTTATCTATGATATGATTCTATATTGGGGAATCCTTAACAGAAAGAACCAAACAGAGATGATAGTAAAACAGAGTTTGATGCCAAAACAGAGTTTAGCAGACATGATATATAAGATTGTGAGGAAGGTCTCTTAGAACCACCGCCAAAACAGAGAGACCTATGCCTATTATTCAACATAAATCTATTGCATGGAGATGGGGACAAATACATGGGAGCTGATAGGAAGGAAGGCTTTAATGGAGACTTCTGTGTCTCCATTCTGTATCATTACTCCCACCCTATACCAGTGAATACTAGATACAAGTGCAAGAGACATGCCTATGGTCGTACAAATAATTGAAGGCAAAGACAGAAGTAGAACCCAGGTCTACTGACTACCAGTTTTATATACTTACTTTTTTCTTGGTGGGTTTTTTTTTCCCTCAAACACCGTAATCATTTGCCTCTCCCACTGAACCCTCCTTTGTAATAAAGAAAAACAATTAGGTATAATTGCCCAACAAAGCAACAAAGTTTGAAAACATATGTACCATTTCATATCCATTCACTTGTCTGTGAAGAAGAGTGATGTATTTTTACGACACCACAGCATATAAAAATTTCCACTGCTCCATTGAGGATCTGTGGGGTAGGTAGTAGGTTCTTCCTGTTTACTAAGATGGGGATGTGGAGTAAGGAACGACCTTCTGGAGCTTAGTTTCTCCTTTTCCCTACCTCCTAGAACCATTGTGGCAGGAAACAACAACCTTGCTTCCCAGGGGAGTAGGAAGAAGGCAACTCTTGGTAATTGTCACAATGGATTTTAAAGACTGAATTTCTGTAAATTTTGCTAAATTAGAGCAAACTTTTTATAAATAATTCATCTTTGGACCTGTGGTACCCATGGTATGAGGCTTGACCTTTCCCCTCCCATTCCATTTGAGTCTTGGACTCCTGCTTTAGGAGAGAGAGGAAGCAACATTGGATGGATATAAATTCACTGTAGCTCTAGATCAGGAGTTCTTAACTTGGGTCCATGAACTTTAAATCACACACACACACACACACACACACACACACACGCACATATATATGACTACATTTTAAAATAATTTCCTTTTCAACCTTAAGTATTTTATGTATTTAAAAACATTATTCTAAGGAGTCCCTAGGCTTCACCAGACTGCCAAAAGGATCCATGACACCAAAAAGTTAAGGACTGATATTCTAGATTTCTACCCCCAACCCCCCAGGATCTTTAGGAGTACTTCTCTGTGGATCAGGGGAAGCATAGGTCAACTCATGTCATAGATGTTCATCCTGATGTTTATCCAAATAAATTAAACGATGTCAGAGGTAAGGAAATTTTCATCTCCGAATGGTGGTGTCTTTGAGTATTTCTTAAAAAGGCAGGATTTTGCATATATTTTGTATTTTCTTACCTGTGTACATGTTATTTGCCTCCAGTATTTGAGAGATGAGGCCTTTATCAGAGAAACTGGCTTCAAAATGGTTTTCACAGTTATGTATTTTCATCCTATTTCCCCATTTATTCTATTCTCTTTCTCCTGAAGGGTAGGGATTGATTCACTTTTGTCTTTATATCCTCATCACCCAGCACCATGTCTGGCACACAGAAGGAGTTTAATACATGCTTGCTGAATTAAACTGAATGCCTTTACAATAAAGATAAACTACTGAAAACAGAGAGCCTAAAAGAAATCTCTGCTAGGGGTGATGAATTTGACAGTGGGGAAAAATATGGGAAATGCTATCAAGCTCATGCTCACGCAGCTCACAATAAAAATCCAAGTTATCTCTATCTGAGAGTTTATTGAAATTAATACATCATCTTCTCACCCTGAGAAAGTTTTATGTGAACCACCACAACAGGCAGATGCAAAGACCTGAGTCCTCTCAAATTCCTTCATCCTGTAGAAGCCTGTGAGTGGGTGGGTGGCTACCTCTTAGGCATACCAAGGGTAACAGAGCCTTGATTCCCTTTTTCTTTTTTATTTACTAGATTTCCTCAAAATTTCTTATAAGAGAGGCTCTGTCTAGAGACGTAAGGTTCCTCCAAACTTTAAGACCTAGGACCACAGGAAAAAATAGGACCATTTTGACCTATAATCTGACTTTCACCATGGCTGCTAGTAACCCTGCTTCCTGCTAGGGCCTCTGTTTAACACCCTCACCTTACAGTTCACTTGTGTCCAAGTCAGGTACATTGGCAGTGGAGCCTCAACCATATCCCTATGGTGACTATGGGACAACTTAAAGGGTCAGTACAGGGAATGAGACTTGTACCTCGCTTGTCTGACCCCATAATAATGCTCAGTCAGAGATAGAAATGAGGATTTAGCGGGGCTTATTCTTCTTAGGACAAAAAGATGCTCTCCCTCGGTCCCGCTCAATCATCAGCAAGGCAGGACATTTTGGGAGAAGATGGGCATTAAAGGCTCATAGTTCATTATGGAGTGGCTGACACTGGGGAGAGAGCTTCTCTTCCAAGACACCATCTGGAGCACATACCCAGGGGTCATTAGTCTCCCACTGCCACTTGGTCAGCTGAACTTTCAGCATCTCCAGCACCTCCACATAGTTGGGGTCAGTGGCTAAGTTCTGGGTCTCCCAGGGGTCTTGTTTCCTGTCATAGAGTTCCCATCGATCGCGGTAATAATAGTGGTGGAGGTCCTTATACCAGTTTGTGTGCTGGCCAGACCTGGTGCGATTAAGCAAGTCCTGGAAGGTAGGGGAAACGTAGAAATCCTGATCGATAGGGAAGGGCATCTTGAAGTTGAGGTTGTGAACTAGATGGAAATTCTGATGGAGCACAGAGCGCATGGGGTAGTACATTGTGACTTCATGGTGACTGTGGCTACTGAAGACTGTGGCCCAGGGTGGCTCTGCTAGTAGTGCAGGCAAGAGAGAGTGACCAGTGAGATGGACTGTCTTGGTACCAAAGATGCGATAGCTGGGGTATGGTATGGAGAACCAATCCAAGATGGTGGGCACGAGGTCTTAAAAATAATAATGATATTAGTTGACATTTGCACAAACTTTCATGGTTGCAAAGCACTTTACATACATCAGAATTGATTCTCACTACAACCCTAGTAGGTAGGTAAAAGTAGAATAACAAGAGAATGCTAGAGTTGGAGTCAGGAAAAACCTGGGTTAGACTCATGCTTCTTGCCACTTATTAGATGCGTTACCCAGGGCAAGTCTCTTGGCCTCACTCTATTTCCTGTATTTCTCTTGCGAGGATCCAATGAGTTGATGCCTAGAAAGAACTTCGCACATCCTAAGTGTGTGAAAGGAAGCAAAATGACTTCTCCAAGGCCACAAAGCTAGAAAGACTCCAACCCAGGTCTTCTGACACCAGTGCAACCTCTGGAAAGGAACCAGAGGTAACAATGTCCAGTGGAAAGGCACTGGATTTGAAGTCAAAAGACCTGGGTTTGAACTAGATAAGATTCTTAACCTCTCTGGGTCTCAGTCTCCTTGTCTCTGTAATAAGGGAGTAGAATTAGGCCTCTTAGGCCTCTTCCAGTTTGAAACTATGACCCTATGAATTCAGTCTGGCAAAGACCTAAACAAGTTACCAGGAGCAACTTTCTACTACCTTCATGTGATATTGAATTAAAACTATACCAGAGAAGTAGATGCCTCTGGATTGGGGACACATCTCACAGTTTCTTAGAACCTACCTTAGTGCTCAATAATTTTCATTTTCAGGAAGCTATCCCTCCTGCCTTACCTAGATCCCCATGCTACAGCTGAAGCCTGTCTCTTTGTCCATTTGTCATGTTACTTTCTCCTCAGACTCTAAAAAAAAAAAATCTCTTGGGTGGCAGGTGGGTGTGAGCCAAGAAGCCACAGAGAAGAGCCCTATTCTCTGAACACATTGCCTGGGACCCAGTTGGTTCTTAATAAGAACTTCATGCTTGACTCATGAGAATATCTCTTACCCAGAAGCTGTAAGAAGAGAAAAGAACTGCTCTTCTCTCCCTAAAAGGCAGGGATCGATCTGGGAACCAGGCAAGCAGAATTTTACTCTCCTTTCTCCATCATGAGTTACTACAAGACTTTTTGATCAATCCCAGTTTTCCCAACTATTATAAAATTAAAAGGCATCTCAAGGTCTACTTAAAGGTAAGTGCATGCCTTCAGATTCCTTTGCAACAAGGAGGCAGATGGAGAGACAGTCAAATGTGGCCTTACCCAAGAGGCTGACAAAGGCCTCGCTGACTTGGCCCCAACGGTTTCGGTGCTCTGGAGAAGACACCAACATGGGCTCGGCTATGCCTGACCAGTATAGGTTGGTTCTGCCACTAGGGAAGGGGATGCCATTGTCTGAAGTGAAGATCACCAGGGTGTCATTCAGGAAGCCAGCTTTATTCAGTTCTTCCAGCACCAGTCCAATCCCTGTAGGAAAAGTCAAGAGTGAAGAGAATAGGCAGCACAGTGACTTGTAGAATTCTCCCCCTCTTCCCGAGCCCACCTTGTTGCCACTTGTGAGCCACTATCAACACTCCTACCCTCACCACTCCCTTCTTTCAATGCAGACCTTTTCACCCATTTAAAATCCATCTCTTTCAGAAAGTCTTCCATGATTGACACTACTAGCTTTGATTCATCACTCTGGCCTTGCCTTGGCATTTTTGTGTACCTCCCTGTACGACTAGATTCTCTATGACTTTGGGCATCTGTCTTCTGTGGGTGCTCAAAGGGCCAGACTTTGAGGCTAAATGATATGGCTACCTCTTTCTCCCTTCCATCACCCATCCCAGGATTTGTAAAATGAGCCAGAGAAGGAAATGGCCAACCGTGTCAGGATCTTTGCCAAGAAAACCTCAAATGGGATCACGGAGAGTCAGACACAATGGAAATGACTGAACAACAAAAAATCGTCAGAGCAGGCGCTACAACCTGACTCCTAAGCCAGCATTTTTTCAGATAAAGTGTTGAAATATGGCCTCCTTTGAGACAACAGGGGCACCACCTCATTGAGACCAGTGGCCCAAGGACAAGCCTGAGTAAAAAAGGGTGGTCCTTTAGTCATTTCAGGTCCCTCCCACTCTGACCCCGGCCAGATGCCTTTCCCGTGAAGGTTTGGGCTGCTTGGAAGGTGAGATGTCTGGGATAAGGAAGATGGAGGCATCTTTAGGAAGGACGGTCCTGCAGCTGCGTTACTGTTTCTGTTCCCTCACCTAAAGGTGAGTGGTGGGAAGGGGTCCTGCTTCCCTTCCTCACGCTGCCCCCTTCCCTGGAGTGACAAAATGGCCCTAGAGGGCCAATGCTGTTCATATTAAAGGCACCAATTTGTCAGGCTTCCCGTCCTATTCTTAGGCTAGGCCAATTTGCAGGTCCCAACTATTATGGGCTCTCCCCTTTCTCATCTCTCAGCTGAGGAACCTGATTAAAGAATAGAACATCTTCCCCAGCTTCTAACCATTTCTCATGCTCTAACCTTGCCTCTCACCTTTTTCCTTACAAGAATACAAGCACTCCACCCCCTCTTTTTAAATTTCCCATCCTGGGGCAAAGCTGGAGTCACCTCACCCTAACTATAGTTTTGGTTCCAACATCACTGTGAGAATGGGAGCTGCCTAGGACAGGCAATCATGTTTTGCAATTTTTTTCCTTCTGGATCCCGCCCTGGCAGGGTCTAATACAGAGGTGTATACAGATGGGGAACTCAGTCCATGGTGGTGATTCACACTCTCTGTCTGAGCTAGGCTGCAGTTGCGCTCGCAGGGAAGTCTGGACCTAGATGGTGCTTGGGGTAACCCCTCCCTGTCTGAGACAAAGCAGAGAGCCCGGTTAGGTTCCTAGGCCCTGTTCTTCCTCATACCTTGGTCCATTCGGCCAATAGTGGTGTACTGAGCAGCCAAGTCAGCTCGGGCTGCTGGGGTGTCAGGGATGAAGTAAGGGACCTAGGAAAGACAGGTAGGTGATAGGTCATAGACAGAATTGGGAGGGTTGGAAGAGACACAGACTAAAGTCTAAACTGGTGCTATGAACAGGAGGAATGGGTACAACTGAACTTTTCTAGAGAACTTAGACTGATAGGGATATTATTGAGGATTCTTAACTGAATATGGGTTGAACTAGATGACTTCTGAAGTTCCTTCCAATTATGAAATCCCATGATTCTATGTTTTATTCTTTATGCACATTGGTCTTAAAGGTTTATTGTCTTATATGAATAAACCGTCCTATTTCCTTAGTCCTTTTATTACCATTAATAAGAGTATAGACCCAGGAGGCAAGGGTTAACTTGGTCCTTGGGTCCAAATTCCTCTGGCACGGGAGCTCTTCTGGGCTAACCACACACCTGCTTGGAGCATGGGTCGCAGGCTCACAAGGAGGGTCTGAGTCCGATGGAATCCCTAGAGGTAAAAGGAGTTGAGATAAAGGAGGTCCTATATTACCTGTACATCCTCTGGGGCATAAGTTTGGGGCACCCAGTCAGGGATCCACCCCATCCCACTCTCTCCATTGCCAAACTTCTCACAGAAGGGTCCATACATTGGCTGAGAATGTCCACACCGGTGGGGATCATGGAAAGCAACATAGAGGAAGAAGGGCCTGAGAAGTGGAAGGAATGAATCAAAACCAGGGTCAGGACAAGGATCCTCACAGGCTCCTCACAGCCCTTTCCACCCAGCTATGTCAATGTTCCTGACTCTTAACCTAGGTCACTCTGTTATGCCAGCTTGGGTCCCCCTCATAGCACTGCCTACACCCCTCTACTCAACACCCCTCCAGTGTTAGAGCCTCCCTATGCCCCAGTTTCTAACTGGGACCTTATATAATACATATAACATTTATCAAACACTTAACACGTGTTAGGTATTATGTCAAGTGCTGGGGAAGATTTAAAATTTAGATAAATCTTTGCTTGGCTTATTGATTAATTGCATGCAGTCCAGGAAGGGATTAAGACACACATACCAATATGTATATTACAAAACCAGTGCATGGTAAGTGCATCAGTCAAGTCAACAAGCATTTGGTAACCACCTACTATGTGCCAAGCACTGTGCTAAATACCGGACAAGAAGTGGAGGGAGGAAAAGAAATAAATACTTGTTGATTAATGAGTTGCAAAGCAAAGTTCTATGTTAAATTAGGGGAACAAAGTAGTTACCTACTAGGGGAAATTAGGAAAGACTTTTGAGAAGAGGAAGCATTTGAATTGGACTTTAAAAGATGGACATAGATGGGGAGTAGAAACTTTCCAGACACAGATAAACACCTGAACATAGATACTTGAGCATGACAACATAGTGTATGCTCGCACACACCTCCTCTCCCTCCTCCAAACCCAAGCAGAGGTAATCTAGTAATATAGATTTATAAGAATGAATCTCAGTGAAAGTTCTGGAGTGACAAGCTAGGAGTCTGAGGGCTGGTGGAGGGACAAAGGCTCCTACCTGTCATCCTGGGTTTCCAGGAATTTTCGGACCAGCAGCTTTATGCGGGTGATGTTTCTCCCCACCTGAAGGATGGAGCCATTCTCCTCTGTGTAGGCAAAGTCAAATGGGTATACTGGCTCTGGTCCAACATGCTTCTTCCCAATGATGCCTGGAAAAGACAGCCCAACAAGCCCACAGTCAGGAGAAAGAGCAGAAAGGGAGAACCTGGGGTGCCTCACTTTCCTTACCTAAAAAGTGAGAAAGTTGGACTAAGTCATTTCTTCCAACTCTAGACCTATGATCCCATGATCCATGTGATCTCTCTTCTCCCTTAAGCCTGCTGCCTTCTAATTACTGCTGCTGTGCCAGGAGTCAGCCAGGAAGCTGTGTACACAGCCACATACACAGAGGGAAAGCCTTCACTGAGAGCAGACATTGAAGAGTGTGTGCCAAAAACCTAATGTGATTTTTGACATGTTAAGAATATAAAAAAAGTAAGGGACAGTTCTCCTGCGCTCTGTCCTGTTTGTACCACATCTAGAAAACTGAGTTAAGTTCTGGGTGCCACATTTTATTTTATTTATTTATTTATTTACTTTGGCTAGGCAATAGGGTTAAGTGACTTGCCCAGGGTCACACAGCTAGTGTCAAGTGTTTGGTTGAGGCCGAATTTGAACTCAGGTCCTCCTGACTTCAGGGCTGGTGCTCTATCCACTGTGCCACCTAGCTGCCTGGCTGCCACATTTTAGAAAGAATATTGATAAGCAGGAGGGCATTCAGAGGAGGGGCAGCTAGGTGGTGCGGTGGATATAGCTCTGGGTCTGGAGTCAGAAAGACTCATCTTCCTAGGTTGAAATCTGGCCTCAGACCAGTTGGGTCTGTTGGGAAGGTGGGTGACCCTGGGAAAGTCACAAGTCTGTTTGCCTTGGTTTTCTCATCTGGCAAATGAGCTGGAGAAGGAAATGGCAAACCACTCCAGTATCTCTGCCAAGAAAACCCCAAATGGGGTCATGAAGAGACAGACATCACTGTAACGACTGAACAATAATAATCCAGAGGAGGGTTATCAGGACAGTGAGGGGCTTGGAAATCAAATAATATGAGGATAAATTCAAGGAAATTGTAGGATCATAGATTTGAGACCTAGAAAGGACCTCTGAGGCCATATTCATTCTTCTCCAGGCTGTACTCTGGAACTGGTTGGTTGGATCCTTCCAGAATACCCATTTAAGGAGGGCACCTATTGCCAATTATGTCTCATCCTGTTCCAGATGACAAGCTGAATCAGAAGCAAGGTCTCTATACCTAGAGCTCTTCAAATGGAAACGGCATGATCATTTGTGGAGGACGTTATAAAGGACAGTGCTACTTAAATGTGATTACGCCTGGATATCCTCTGAAGTTAATTCCAAAACTGAAATTCTATAGTTCTCTGTTGTGTTTGGCAGGCAGATTAGTGTAGTGGACAGAGGAGATGGCTTTAAAGTCAAGAAGAAAGCTTCAAGTCAAGCCCATGAGACATACTAGTTGTGTCATCCCAGGTAAGTCACTAAACCTCTCATTGTCCCAGGTGACTCCAATACCACAAGCTGAAACACAGGTGCCAATTTACCTTGCCAGAGGGAGTTTCTCCCCCAGGAGTTCTGTAAACCAATCAAGTCACAGGTCCAGACCCAAGGACTTTGGTAAGTGGAGGCAGAGTAATTATCTGTGTGACCTCGGACAACAGTTTAACCCCCTTGGTCCTCAGTCTCTCCCTCTGTGAAGTGGGAGGAATCTCAGGAACTATGAGAAGCAGGAAGTAACTACTTCTTCCCCCAAACCCACCCAAGCTCCTAACCTGTGCGGATGTTAGCCTGGCTGAGAAGCAGAGGCAGACTTCGCACCTTGTTGAAGGAGTTGAAATGATGGTCATTCTGATGTAAGCCATACATTCCATTCTGATGCTGTAAGGAAAGCTATTATGAGCCTGAGGGGGCCAGGACTCTCAACCAAGCTGTCTCCATCACTCAGATCAACTATAGTATCCCTCTTCCTAGTTCCCTGACTTGAATTAGAACTTAGCTTGCCAGTGCATATGAAAGTTCTGTGTTTGTACCTTTCCTTCCTCCCTCTCCCACCCGCATCTCGTTTGTCCTGGTCCAGAAGACTTTCATTAGCATGGAAGCACTATATTAACAAACCTCTCTAACCCAGCCTCCCCAGATGGCAATGATCAAGACACAAAACTCTTCCGTATGGCTAACTTAAATGTGGAATCTGACAGTTTTCTGTTCAAAATTATAAAGAATTACAATGAAGACTTACAAAGAAGTAGTTCTGGTGAAGGATAGATATGGGAAGATGAAAGGGTCAGGGAGATTCTCAGAGAAGGTAGCAGGGCATGGGCTTGTTAGGATAGACTGTATTATTAGCACTTTTTTGATGAAAGGGGGGAGCCAACAGCCTATTCACTCCAAGATACTGCCTATATGCCCAGAATCCCAACAGTATACACTGCTCAAAAGATTCTCCTATCTTCTCCCTTCTACTGTTCTCTTTTTCACCACCCCATTCTTCTTCTCCCGTAGCACGGGCATCTGCTTACCTGCGGTAAGCCAGTCAGGAGGCTAGCACGACTAGGGGAGCAGCTGCTGACTGAGGTGAAGGCATTATGGAAGATCAGGCTCCTTTTTGCCAAGGCATCCAGGTGTGGGGTTGAGATTGCACTGTTGTTGTATGTACCACTCTCAAAGCCTCCATCATCCGCTGCCAATGGGAAGAGAAAGAGGGAAGGCACTGTGAGCTAAGGGATGTGAGAGAAATAAAGCTGAGTATGAGGATTCACTATGGAGCTCAAGGATACTGGCATTTGGTATCCTACTGAATTGTAGGCAGATTTGGTGGAGGAATTCTGAGTAAAGCTGGGACTGGGGCTCTGATGTATGGTGTAAGGCATTGTAGGAAAAACTCACATTCAGGTAACGGGGAGATTCTGCGCAATTCAGGGTCTCTGAATGGAGGAGCCAGAGCTCAAATGAGCACTCCCAGAGCCAGTGTTAACCCTGGCTCATCCAGTGGACAGCATATTAGTCTAGGAATCAGGAAAATTTGTGTTCTAATTCCACTTTCATCACTTAATTAGCTGTTTTAGTTTCAGCAGGCCATTTGATCTCTGTCAGCCTTGGTTTCCTCATCTATAAAGTAGGAATAATACCTACAGTATTTATCTCACAGAGCTGTCATAAGGCTCAAATGAGATAATGTATATAAAGCACATTGCAAACTTTAAAATGATACACAAATGCCAGCTATAATAATTGTAGTGATTTCACTAAATATTTTGATTATTAATTATAAATTAATATTTAATTTATTATTATTATGGGCACCTGGCCTTAATGCTAAGTGTTGATCCCATTGGCCATCAGGTCTCAGTCCCTTTGTCATCTACACACCTACTTTATGAGTCCCAGTACTGCTATTTACTATTAACTGGGATTCTTTGAGCAAGACACAATTTTTTTGAATCTTAGGTTTCCTCAACTACAAAATGGAGGTGATTCTTGCACTCTCTATCTCAGAGAAGTACTGTAAGGAAAATTCTTTGTAAACCTTAAAGGGTTAAATAAACACGAGTTATTGTCATATTTACCCTGGTGGGGCAGCTGAAGCTGGGGGGTGGGAATGGTGTGTTGTAAGCAGAAATATCTATTCTAGGTCTTCTGGAAGAATGGCTATGAGTTTTTCTCTACAGCTGGCCTTCCTACCCAAGGTGAGAATGAAGGAGGAGGGAATAGCTTAAAGCCATCTTTACATAGCCTCTTGTCTATCCCAAGTTGTGACATTTTAACTGATGGTTTTTGTCCTTTACTCCCCCCAGGTTCTGAAAAGCAGGTGATTATGATAGAGATTTGGGGTATAGATGCCATAGTGGTTCATAGGAGCCACCCTTGAAAAAAACCTACTTGTCTATGGAGGTGGGGTATGGGGGACTGAAGAACTGTTTTGCAATGAACCGAAAAAGTCTGTCTGGAGGCTCAGAATATGTATTTGTGACACTGATTTAACAGTAGGGATGAGGACTGGCAAGGGGCCAGGCCCAGAAATAAGCTGTTTTGTGGTTTGATTTATCACAAGGACAGAGCCCTCACCACCAAAACAGGAAGTCCCTGAAAAATACATATCTTCGGTAGAATTTCAGATTTTCGGTGGGGAGGAGAAAGAGAGAGAGAGAGAGAGAGAGAGAGAGAGAGAGAGAGAGAGAGAGAGAGAGAGAGAGAGAGAGAGAGAGAGAGAGAGAGAGAGAGAGAGAGAGAGAGAGAGAGAGAGAGAGAGAGAGAGAGAGAGAGAGAGAGAGAGAGAAAGTACATGTTCACCTGTAAGTGTACCCTTTCCCCCCGACCCTCCAAGAAAAAAAGGAAATGAGAAAAGGAGATTCATGCCCAACAGCAGATTCCTCCGTGCTCATGTTTGGACAGATCTCTCACCCAACTCTGTTATCTCTATGTCATTATCCTGCTATCAGAACCCAGAAACCCAAGTGGAGTGAAAAGAGCGTAGGCAAGCAAGAGCTCCACTTTCAAACATCACCCTAACTTGGGGGTTCAGTTAGGATAAGGTGAGTGGGGCTGCAGGATGTGTCTGGAGACACTCTCCACCCCGAATATCACGTGTGGGGCTTACAGCCAGAAAGCTGCTTACTGTGGGTGTGACAGGGTGGAGAAGACATCTGAGAGGAGAGGAAGAGAGGGGAAAGAAGGAGAAAAGGGTGAGAAGAGGGGAGAAGTGGGAGCATGGGGGAGATTCAGTGCAGTACAGAGGTGAACCGTGATACTGAGGCTCAGATGTGCCCTGGAATAGGAACTCACAGGGAGGAGGGGAGGGGAGAGGAGAAGAGGAAGAAGACAAAAGGAGATGAGGAGAGGTGAAGGAGGCACCGAGTTCTTAGTGGGGGCCCCCAGACGTGGAAGAAATGGCGTCAGGTACCGCCACATTCCAAGCAGTCATTAATGACCTTTGTGCTAGCAGGGACAGGAGCGGTGTTGTGTGTGTGGAGGGGGAAGGGGAAGAGATTGGGGAATGGGCAGCGACATTACCGAGGTAGTAGGTCTGACCCCAGCGTAGCTGCTAGGATTGCACGCTTCCGGGGTTGCGTTACAGGCCCGATACAGGAGGTGACCTTGGAATGAAGGCATGCCCTGCCCCTGCCTGGGTAGCTAAGAGATGCCCGAGGCATCCCTGGGATTGCCAGGTTTGCACTGAGGAAGGGTCAGTGGGCCGCCAGACCGTTACTCACCCAGGATAAGCAACACGTTGCGGTGGCTTTGTTGCAGCCCCAGGCATATGCCGAGAGCTAAGAGAAAGAAGCAGCCGCCAAGCTCGGACCGGGGCATGGCGAAGACCCCAGGGACCGCATAGGCAGCTCCAGCTCCTCCTTCCAGCCCCAGCCACGGCCCTCTCCGTGCTAGCCTCGGGAGATGGGAGTGAGTTTTGTCTCCAGGCCCAGCTCCTCCTCCTCCCGCGATCACATGAGCAGGGCCCAAATCATCCAGTCAAGTCCACTCTCGGCACTTCTTTGTCCCTTCCTCCCCCCTCCCTTCCACCTCCGTTTCCCAGAGCTGAATCCTCTGAGCCGTAGACTGAGGCTGAGAGCTCCTGGAGGGGCGCAAGGTGAGTCCCCTACCTGGCAGTCCCCGATCTTACGGAGAGGGGGCAGAAGGGACTTGGCAGAGAAGTGGGGACGGGACTGAAAGAGTTTGAGGACTTGGAGCCTGGCAACCCACGGGAAATGTGGTGTTCACCTGGAGGGGTTAAAGTAGAGTCCATTCTCAAAAGCCTCTTTCCCCCTTCCCGTGGATAAAGTGCTGGACATGGAGACAGAAAAGCCTGGGTAGGCATTCTGCATGGTAGTGACTAGCTGTGTGAGCATGGGCACTAAACCTCTCCGACCTTTGTCTATAAAATGAGGATACTAATACCTTGTAGGACCTGCCTCTTTGGGTTGTTTTAAGGGTCATATGGATAATGCGAAGCAAATTCTCAAGTGCTATGTTATTATTATTAATTGTTCTAGTAACTCTAAAGAGATCCTGCCGTTGCCGAATGAAGTGTACCTGCCAGAGCTGCCCCAAAGTGCTGGAACCTGGGGGCTCCTGGACTGGAGTGGAAGTAAATTCTTTGGACTGCTGGGGAGAAGCCTCAGAGTGAGTACAAAGTCCATTGATGGATTTACCATGTTTAAATATTGACCACAGCCCTAAATTTGGACTACATACTTCATGTGTACAACACTATATATGTATGTATGTATGTATATATGTATGTATTTATGCAACACATTTCATTAGGGCATGCATCCAGGGAATTTAAAATTTTTTAGGTGAATATTTATTCAATAGTCATAAAAGACATAATTTGTATTATCAAACTAATGTAAGTTAAAACTTAACTTAAAAAAATTAAATAAACTTTACTTTTAAAAGACGCAGCATGGTGGAAAAAAAAGGTTGTTTTTTTTTAAAAGGCTTTGGAGACAGGAAGACCTGAGTTCAAGACCCACCTCTGACCCATAAAGCCTGTGTGACAGTTGGCAAATCACTTAGTTGCAGAGGAAGTGCTGACTGCTGTGGTAGTGGGACTTTCTGCATCCAGGAATTATTCATATTAGTAAAATCGCAGCTCCAGTTCCTGTCCCTTACTTTAAAAATATAAGCAATAGGAGCAACTAGATGATACTCTTGCAAAAAAAAATACATATATATGTATATACACATATACATATGTAAACAATAAAACAGAAAGTGCCAAAAGGGAAAAGGACCCACATATATAAAAATTTTTAAAGCAGTTCTTTTTGTGGTGGCAAAGGATTGGAAATTGAGGGGATGCGCATCAATTGGGGAATGGCTGAACAAGTTGTGGTATATGAATGTAATGGAATACTATTGTGCTATAAGAAATGATGAGCAGGTGGATTTCAGAAAAACCTGAAAAGACTTCCATGAACTGATGCTGAGTGAAGTGATCAAACCAGGAGAACATTGTACACGGTAACAGCAGCATTGTACGATGATCAGCTTTGATAGACTTAGCTCTTCTCAGCAACACAATGATCTAAGACAATTCCAAAAGACTCATGATGGAAAATGCTATCCACATCCAGAGAAAGAACTATTAAGTCTGATGCAGATTGAAGCATACTGTTTTCTCTTTTTTCTTGTTTTTTTCTTTCTCATGGATATTCCCTTTTGTTCCAATTCTTCTTTCACAACATGACTAATGTGGAAATATGTTTAATATAATTGTACATGTATGACCTATATCAGATTGCTTGCCATCTTGGGGAGGGGAGAAGAGAGGGAAGGAGAAAAAAATTTGTAACTCAAAATCTTATAAAAGTGAATGTTGAAAACTTTCTTTACATGTAATTGGAGAAAATAAAATAATTAATAGGGGGAAAAAATGCCAAGGTTTTGAAAACAAGGTATGCCTGAACACACCCAGGATACTCTGTATTCACACCTATGATATCCATCCATTCACTCATCCATCCATCCATTCATCTATCCATCCATCCATCCATATATCCAGACATTGGTCTATCCATCCATTTGTTGTTATTCAGTCATTTCAGTCATGTCCACCTCTTCATGACCCCATTTGGGGTTTTCTTGGCAAAGATACTGGAATGGTTTGCCATTTCTTTCTCTAGATCATTTTACAGACGAGGAAACTGAAACAGAGTTAAGTGACTTGTCCAGGGTAACACAGCTAGTAAGTATCTGAGGCCAGATTCGAACTCTGAAAGATGAGTCTTCTTGCCTCTATGTCTGGCACTCTATCCACTGTGCCACCTATCTGCCATCTATCCATAGATACACACATATGTACACAACAGGATCCCACATACATATGAAAGGCAGTATAGTATGTAATTGAAAAGCTGACTTTAGAGTCAGGAAACTGGGTTTACTCTTCACTCTTGACACATACTCGCTATGTGACTCTGGGCAAATCACTTAACCTCTGAGAGTTCCGGGAAACTAATTATAAGTTGCAGAACAGTTGCTGGTCTGCATTAGTGGAGGGACTCTTCCTCACCAGTAGTTCTCTGCATTTTTGAAATCACAGGTTCAGTAAAGAAAGAAAATATATATGTGTATATGTATGTATTAATGTATACCTACACTGAAAAATAACACTGAGACCCTACTCAGGTTTAATACCAACCAAATTTAGGTGGAGAGATTTGGCCTCTATTAGGATCAATATGGTAAACTGCTTTCCTCCTGAGACCAAAGCTAAAGCTTCTTAGAGAAGAAGGGGCCCTATATTTGGTATCACATTATTTAGGATCAAATCCTGGCGCACATGTCGCTTCCTAACTCTGTGACTTTGGGCAAATCTCAGGCCTCATTCTCATTCGTGAATTTAGGAAGTTTGATCAAATAGCCTTTAAGACTCATTCTACTCTTAAAAATTTTACAATTCTGATCCCATGGTGTCATTAATGGGTAATGGGGAAGGCAGTAAGGAAACAAAACTACAGGGGCAGGTGACAGAAGCGGGAGATAGGATGACTTTCCAAAAGCAAACCTGAGGGGTTGGATGTCAGGGGACTAGGGAGAATGATTAGGGAACTCAGGCCTCCAGTTTTCTTCTTCTAGGACTGACCTTTTGTACAGGGAGGAATGAGTGATTTAAAGGAAAGATGCCATTGAGGTCAACCCCTCATGTTATAGATGAGGAAACTGAGGCACAGAGAGGTGAAATAACCTGGCCAGGGTCACATAGCTAGTAATTATCTGAGGTAGGATTTGAACCCAGCACTTCCTAACTTTAAGTTCAATGCTCTATCCACTATGTCATGTTGATTGGGGAAACACCAGTGAAAGAAAGAAAAAGTTGATAGTGTGGAAGGCAGGTTTGTCTACTTCATAGCTTTTGCCTAGTACCAGTGTTTCCTCTCAGCCTTTGCCCCTACCCCCACCTCTCCAGCCTGGACAAATGCAAGTGATTTTTGTTAGGCCCCCCAGATATATATATGAAATACTACTGAGGTGAAAGGTGTAGCCTACTTACCTGTGTTATATAGGACACATTCTTTAAGGGCTTATAACCTCTAGGAGGCTCATAGTTTCTAGAGACCTTTTTGTTTCCCCTTAAACTGTAAATCTGGACCTAATAGTACTTGGATGACAGAGGAGCTAGAGTGAGGTAGCAGGGATAGCAGGCCTACCTGATTTCCAAAATCACTAGTAGTAAAGACCCCACTGGAGGTCCCTTTTGCTGCAGTTCCTCTGACTGTTTGTCTGTGTTTGTGTTATACAGGACTGTCCACTGTCCTCAGAGCCTAGGTGAGATCATCAGACTTCAGCATGACAGAGAGAACCTGGTGCTGCTCTCTAGGAATAGTTCAGAAGAGGCTTCCTATCCTGGGATGGCTTCCCCACTACTCCCTGAAGTGGTTACAACTGGACAGCATCGCTGGGTTAACTGTGGGGCTGACTGTTGTGCCCCAGGCTCTGGCCTATGCTGAGGTGGCTGGGCTACCTGTCCAGGTGAGATATCTGAGCTCAGGCAATAATAATCCATTCCATCCAGTACTGTGGCACCCCTCACACACAACCCATTTCTGTTGTGGCCTTCAATCCATATTTATCCAGCAACAGGAGCAGAAATATGTGGAAATAACCCTAGACATAGAAGTATACTTGCATACACATGATAACATGAACTGACACATGTATGTACATATATACACATATATATGCATATACATATACAATGCCCATCTGTACATTTGTGATTATGTATAAAAACAGTACATGTGTATATATACATATATAATATAAATACTGTATGTCTTGGTCAAGGGTTTTTAACTTTTTTTGGTTCATTACATCCCTTTGGCAGTCTGGTGAAGCCTATGGACCACTTCTCAGAATAATACTTTTAAGTGCATAAAACAAAATATGTAGAATTGCAAAGGAAACCAATTATATTAAAATAAATTTATTGACAATTTTTTTTAAAGTTCATAGATCCCAGGTTAAGAACTTCTAATATAGATAGTTATACACACACACATACACAAATACACACACACACACACACACACACACGTAGTTATAGGTATATAACTATATAAAACTGTCTGGCTATTTGTAACTATAAAGAGATATGAAACTATGTAGCTAGCTAGGTAACTGTCTCTCTAAATATGAGTATAGAGAGGCAGCCTCAGAGTCAAGAAGACCTGGATTGAAGTCCCACTTCTGATAAATACTGTATAATCTTGGGCAAATCATTTAACTTCTTATTAATTTCCTCAGGGTACTTTTTAAGACCATAGATTGTAGAGAGGGTGCTAACGTGTACTAGTAAAGGGCATCTGCTCATCTTGGAGATCCCTATACCAATGAAATCACAAGTCTAAGACCTCTCTGTCTCTGTATGTATAGTTGGACAGATAGATAGCTAGATAACTCCTAACTTTAAGTTTTAAAAGAGGGAAACAAAGGCACAGGAAATCCAAAATCATGTGTAGTAACTAGTCTTTGGACTGCAGTCAGGGACACACACAAACATACCTACACACAGATTCACTTTCCTTCTTCCATATTCAACGCCAATTCTAATTGGTTCTGCCGTACTATTAGCTTTCTTAGCCCCAGCAGGATGCTGGTGAGGGGGGAACCCTCATCCCTGCCAATCACTCTAAGTAATGTACTTGTGGACACCCGGGAGCTATCTGTGCATATTATGCCCCATGTGTGGCTGTCTGTATTGATGGCACACAATAGGTGTTTAATAAATGTGTGTTCCCTTGGTCATCGCAACTACATGTGCTCAGATATCAAGTACTGTTCACGTATGTAGGTACACATGCCTTAGTCACTGGCTGATGGTTTTGACCACTTATTCTTCTTGTAATCCTGTCTCTGTTTCTCTGAGCAGTATGGCCTCTACTCCTCCTTCATGGGATGTTTTGTGTATTTTTTCCTGGGCACCTCCCGGGATGTGACCTTGGGCCCCACAGCCATCATGTCCTTGCTGGTTTCCTTCTACGCCTTACACCAGCCTGTCTATGCCGTGCTCCTGGCTTTCCTCTCTGGCTGTATCCAGTTAGCCATGGGGATCCTGCACTTGGGTAAGATATCTAGAACTTCCTTCCTGGACTCTCTGGATATGTTTGGAAAAAATGGTTACAACTTTTCATCCCTATCTCATTAGCTTCTGCCTTCTGTACTCAATGGTCCCCGCCTCTATCTTCTCCAAAAGGATGGAGCAATCTCTTCCAAGTCAGGTCACTGGGCTGGATATTCAGAAGCTCAAGACACCTTTCTATCTCTTAAAGGCAGTTAGGTGACACAGTGGATAGACTGTTGGAGTCAGAAGATGTGATTTCACACATTTACAAGGTATTTGACCCTAGGCAAGTCATTTAATCTCTGTCTGCCTGATTCTGCATCTGCAAATTGGAGATAATAATAGCACCTGCCTCTTAGGGTTGTTGTGAGGAAAGAATGAGAAAATATTTGTAAAGCACTTTGTAAATTTTGTTGTTGTTGTTGTTGTTGTTGTTTATCCTTCATTCCGAAGAGGACCATGACATCAGGGAGGTGATGCCATGCAAGTGAATTGGATTTAAGTGAGGGAGGTCTGTGCAAGATCATCAGCCTCACTTTCTCCTCCAGAGCCATCTGGGTCCAGTAGCCAGATATGGATCAGGACAACTGGAGATGGCCCAGGATGCAATGGGAGACAGTGGCCTTTGCAGGCTAAGGGCTTTAACAAGTCTCAATTTGACTGAGGCAACACCCATTCAATGATTAAGATTAGGTAAGAAATGAGGCCTCTTTATGTAGTAAAAAAAAAAAATCCATCTGGGAGGGGAAGACCCTCAGGGTTTCTGGCCATAACAGAAGCAATTGATATTTATATTCATCCTGAGCCAATCAGGACCCAAACAATGACCAAATAAGGCTTGGCCTAGGACGCATTTTCAGGCAATCCAAGGGAATGGGTTAGAGTTTTAGAAAGAAAAAAAAGTTTCTGAGATTAAAATTTGCATTCCCTTTGGGCAGAGCATCCACTGGTAGGGCATGATACTCTATGTGTACTGGGGGAAGGGAAAGAAAGAAAGAGGGGGCAGCTAGGTGGCGCAGTGAATAGAGCACCGGGAAGTGCTGAAGTCAGGCGGACCTGACTTCAAATACGACCTCAGACCAAACACTTGACACTTACTAGCTGTGTGACTTAACCCCAATTGCCTGAAAAAAAGAAAGGAAATTTTGAAGCAGTTATTGAAGTTTAAAGTACTTTGTAGCTAGCGTTTATTATAATAACAAACTACGTAGCTACTGGCTATAATAATTATTTCTTTCTCCTTTTCCAGAAGCACTATAAAAAAATTCAGGATAACTCCATTCTTTTCTATAACTCTACCCATTACTTCCTCACCCTTTGCCCCCACCCCTGCTACTTGCCACACCTCCACTTTCTGACATCTCCTGGGAACCAGAAACTGCTTAATTTAAGATGTCACTCCATGACTTTCTTTTGTGTTGGCCAGGGTTCTTGTTGGACTTCATTTCCTACCCTGTTATTAAAGGCTTCACGTCAGCTGCTTCGATCACCATTGGGTTTGGCCAGATCAAGGTAGGAATATCATCCTTCATGGTGCTGCTACCCACTGTTAGATGGTTTCTATGGGGTACCTGGTGAGCAAGAAGCCCAGGTATCTGAAGGGCAGTAAATCCCCAGATCTGGTAATAGTAACATGCCAAGTTAAAGCAAGCTTTTTTTCCTAGGAACTCAAAGCACTTGACAATTATGGTTTCACTTGGCCTCAACAAATAAGGACATAGCTAAGAGGGGGCTCTCACCAACCTCTGTCTTACAGAGGGGACACAGGGAGACATAGGTTAAGAACTCCTGGCCTAGAGCCTTTTGTCCCTCTTCTAGAATGGTGCTTGGATGATTGGTCCTAGGGAAAAGTCTAAAAATCTTCTGAGTTTTCTTTTTACTGGAATTAAGAAAAATTCAGAAAATTAACTTGCAATAAACTTTGAGAAGGATCTTTGCCTCTGAGGGAAGTTGAGAGACTGTTTCTGGAATTCCTAGGAGCAAGAAGTGTGTCTTATTTGGCTGGGATAGTTTCCAGTGGTTCTGAAGGGACAGAGAAAAATGAGCTGACCTCTTAAGCTCCCTTCTGATCCTGGGGTTCTGCAGCACACTCATATTTAATACATTTTGGGGGGCCAATTTGCCTTGGAGATTTCCAGTCAGTTGATAGGAGGCAGAATAGCACCCAGCAGGGTGCCAAGGTCTCTCTGCTTGTGCTGTCATCTGGCCCCAACCCCTTACCTCTTGGAAGGCACTACTCTATGTGTGTGAATTGGGGGGGGGTGGATGAGGAGGAGATTTGGAGGAAGCAGACATAGTGGGAGGAGATGTCAATGAAAGGATGGACAATAGGTCTGTTCTTTTAATCCCTGCCCTTGATAGGGGAGAGCTCTGGTGCCTCTGAGATAAAATGCAAACACACCCCTTTGCTTGGCAATTAAAGCCCTTCACAACCTGGCTGCCACCTCCCTTTCAGAATTACTTCGTGTAACTCACCTTCACAGACTCCACAATCCATCCAAACTGGCCTGTGTGTGCTGTTTTCTGGAAGTGACATTTCCACCTCCCACCTATGTACCTTTACACAGGCTGTTCATAGATGCACTCCCTTCTCACCACTTAGAATCCCTAATGTCCTTCAAAGCTCAGCTCAGGTGTTAGCTCCTATGTGAGGCCTTTCCTCATTCCTCCCCCAGCCGCTAGTACCCCCCTCGCCCTTGAAATTACTTTGTAGTTACTTATAACAGGTGTTTAATAAATATTACTTTGTTAACATTTCATTATTTACTTAATTATTTGTTTTGTTAAAACATTGGACTTTGCACAGAACCTCCTGGGTCTGCATGACATCCCTCAGCAGTTTTTCCTTCAGGTGTATTATACCTTCCTCAGAGTTGGGCAGACCAGGTAAGCCACTGGTCTCCTGCTTTTTATTTGCTATTGGGAAGAGAGGGAGGGAGGGAGGGAGAGAAGGTTCTTCATCCCCAGAAGAAACACTGTTCAGAGGCTCATAGACTTAGAGCTGTAAGAGACCTAAGGGGCCATCTGGTCCAACCTCTTCACTTTACAAATGAAGAAACTGAGGCCCAGAGAGATGAGTTAGCTTGCCCAAGGTCACTCATTCAGTAAGTGGCAGAGCTGGGATTTGATTCTGGGTCCTGTAACTCCAAATCTGCTTCTCTTTTCACTGTAACATGTTGTTTCCCAATTGTTTGCTGTTGCAGTTTCCATCTTGGGCCCCGATCCAGGATAGATTCCAGCCCTTAGAGCAACTGAGAAGTCAATCACCACCTATGGTTAATCACCAATGTCATGTCATTGTTTTTGTTCAGTCATGTCTGACTCTTTGTGACCCCATTTGGTGATTTCTTGGCAAAGATACTGGAGTGGTTTGCCATTTCCTTCTCTAGCTCATTTTACAGATGAGGAGACTGAGACAGCATTAAGTAATTTGCCCAGGGTCACACAGCTAGTAAGTATCTGAGGCCCGATTTGAACTCAGATCTTTCTGACTCAAGGCCCAGTACTCTATGCACTCTGCCACCTAGCTGCCTCAATATCATTGCTCAATATTGGGCACTTAGAGGAGTGGGTGAGCACTGGGCATTGGAGGAGGGTGATAATGATAAAAGAGGAGAAAGAGGTAGCCCCTGTCCTCAAGGAGGCTAGGGAGACAGAACATGCATGTGCAGAATAACTGAAGAATACAGCAGCATGCCAAAAAGTAAAGATGAAAATAATACACAAAGAATGTACCCTACCTACTCTACCTCTGGTAGAGATGAGTGATCAGAGATAGATTGAACTAATCAAAGAAGGCTTAGAGCTATAGATGGTTAGAGCAGAAAGAGCCCTTTGGGAGCTAGCCCCTCTCATTTCACAGAAGGGCAAACTCAGACCTAGGGAGGTAACTTACCCAAGTCACCCAAGTCACAAAGACAGGTGATACCTTAGGTAGGACTAGAACTCAGGGCTTGTGACACTCATTCCAGTGTTCTTCTCACTATACTTCTGCTTCACTTTGGAAAAGGTTATGAAGGGAGGCCAGGGAGGAGCGAGGCAAGGGTTGATAAAGATGAGGGAGGGTGCATTCCGTCTAAGGAGAATGACACACTTTAGATGCGGGAAGGAGTAAGTCAGGCAGCTCTAAACATGGTGTCTCACACTGCCCTTACAGTTTGATTCTCACAGGGTAGGAGATGCTGTCTTAGGGTTGGTCTGCATGGTGCTCCTCCTGCTGCTGAAGGTGATGAAGGACCAGGTGCCACCCCTCCACCAGCAGATGCCATGTTGTGTCCAGCTTAGCCACCTGCTGGTCTGGACCAATTGGAACAGGTGAGCTAGCCCCCCAGAGGGAACTGACTATGGCGAAAAATAAACTGAAAAAACCCTCAGCTCCTGATTGCATCCAGAAGCACCAGGCCATCATCTTATCATATGGACTTGCCAAAAGGATAGAATTAAACGGACTGACTTAGAAGTAATAAGGAACTTAGGAAAATGAATGTGTAATGAGGGCAATTCTGGGCAGCTAGGTGATGCAGTGTATAGAGTGCCAGGCCTAGAACCAGGAAGACCTGGGTTCAAATTTGACCTCAGACACTAATTAGCTGTGTGACACTAGACAAATCATTTAATCCTGTTAGCCTCAGTTTCCTCATCTATAAAATGAACTGGAGAAGGAAATGGCAAACCACTCCACTATCCTTGCCAAGAAAACCCCAAATGGAGTCACAAAGAGTCAGAAACAACTGAACAGCAACAACACTGAGGGCAATTAGCTAGTTGTATAGTGTCTGCAGAAAAGTGGAAACTTTTGGTTCCACTCTGAAGAAACAGTAAATTTCATTGTTGAGGTTTTTTTCTGGTTAGTGACATGCAAAGATCTTAAAAATACATATTTCTATAGCACGATGTGATTTATAAACTCTTTCCTCATAACAATCCTGTGAAATAGGTGATATAATTATTTCCATTTTTATAGCCACTCTTGATACTTAAGATTTGTTTTTTTAATGTCACACAGTTGAGCAGGGACAAGACTTGAACCCAGGTCTTTTGTCTAATTTTAAGGCTCTTTCCATTGTATTCTGTTGCCATTCACTTCTGAGTCAACCAACCAGCTGAGCTCCACCCAAGGGTACATGGGATAAGATGGTAGCCTGGTGGGATCCACCCTGTACTTGAGCGAGGGGTGGGGAAGAAGGTAGAGATGAGAAGGGGAAGGGAGAGGGAAGATTGATCTAGCTCTCACTGTCATTCCCAATTGATCTGGGAATTATTCTGTTGCTACCTCTGTCTGTGACTTGTTGTCTAGAATCAATGAATCTTAGAGACCAGATGTCTAATCCAGTCCCTCCTCTAAAATATTAGTTACAGAGTAGTATAGGAGAAAGAATACTCAAGGCACAGGACTGAATTTTAATTTCAGCATTGCCCCTCATTAGTTGTCTGACCTTGAGCAAGTTGCTTCATTCCTTCAGGCCTCAGTTTCCTCATTTGTAAAATGTGGGAGGTCCCTTCCAACTCTAGATTTTTGATTCCTACAATATCTCCAACAAGTGGTCCCAGTAAGTGGTACAATATCACCATCCAGAGTTGGGAAGTTTTCACTAGTTTACTTACCTTATATTGAGTAAATCCAGCACTCTCAAATTCAGTGCTTGCTTTCCCAAAGAATGGACTACAGGCTGATTTTAAATAGTGAGCTCTCCTTGTGCATTTAAAGTATGATTCAGCTTTTGTAGGAAGCTCAGTGGTCTGTTCCTGATTCCTGCTCCCCATATCCCTAAGTCTCCAGTCTCCATATTGCAGACTTAAAGTGATGGACCTGGGCTAGTGGATGGTGTCCCTCCTCCCTAAAACATGTAACATTATCATCAGTGAATAGAATTACCGAGCACCTCCAAGGGATATGGCCTCATTTTAGATATGAATGAAATGAGTGGAAATGTCCCTGCTTTCTTAAAGCTTACAGTTCAAAGCAGATGGTCATATAGCCAAGACAAAATCCAGAGAGGCATATCTCTCTATAGTCATGTTAGTGAACTTTGTTTTCTGTGGGATTTCTGTCTGTTTCTTGGGTCATTCAGTATCCTCTTGTTTCTTTACAAAACAATTTCTAGTAGGGAACTCAGAAGTCCACAGTTCGGACACAGTGTTTAAGATAAACTCTGATTTTAAAGCTTTTTTTGTAATTTTTAATATGTCTTGAGATATATTTTCATATGGAGGGTGGAGGTTTCAGGGGAGGGAGGAGTAGCTCTGTCCCTGTGCATGTTCTTTCTTTTATTTATTTAGATGGCCACCAATTTATTTATTTGCTTATTCATTTATTTTTGACATTCATTTTAAAAAATTTTGAGTTCCATATTCTCTCCCTCCTTCCAGACCTTTCCCCCCACATTGAGAAGACAAACAATGTGATGTCAGTTACATATGTGAAGTCATTCGAAAGGCCGCATTTGAGGGCTTAGAGGGCCTCAAGGCTGCAGGTTCCCTATCCTTGGTCTGATCCATCCCGTTTGTTTTACAGATGAGGAAACTGAAACCCAGAGAGGAAGAAATCAACATATTTAAAGTCATACAGCTTATAAGTAGTAGGGCTGAGGCTAGAACTCATGTCTCCAGCCTGCTAATCCAGATCTTTTCTCACTATACCACGATTCACACATGGGTGTAACACACATGGATTCATGATGTACACACAATAGCATGATGCACATGTATATGTTGAACATCCAGTGGGTATGTGTTGAATCATGGAAAAGCAGCAGTAAGCTGATTGATGTCTCTGGCAATAACACAGGGAAAACAAGACTGACTTTGTTCTCTCTTTGCATGCTAATTCTTTTTGTCTGGAGTAAAGTTTAACTGCTGCCGTTTCCCCTGTGTTCTAGCCCGCAATGCTCTAGTGATACTGTTTGCTGGCCTGATTGCCTACTCCTTCCAGGTGATGGGATCTCAGCCATTCCTTCTGACTGGGAAAACTGCAGAAGGTCTACCTCCATTCCAGCTTCCTCCCTTCTCTGTGGCCACCCCCAATGGGACTGTGCCCTTTAACCAAATAGTGCAGGTGGGTAGACATTATGACCATCCTAGGCTACCATGACTTCTGTGTCTGCTGCCCCCTGGTGGATGCAAGAACCCCAGTGGGTCCTAATGCTGTTGTTTGGTGATGAGGTCCAAGTTCCTGCTGAAATTTCTGAATTGTTAGCAAGAAGGTGGAGATAAGGCATTGCTTTTTGGAGAAAAGATATTGGTAAGAGAATTCCAGGCTGAAAAAGAGTCTGGTGAAGTGGTTCTTTTGCCTCTAAGCAGGAAGATACCAAAGAGCTATTACTTCTTTAAAGACCTTCAGAGAAAAAAGATTCAACATCCCTCCCAGTCATTCCTTCAGAATTCTTCAATTTTGGCACATGGGGAAAACAAAATAAATTGACTCTCAAATAAATTTTGTAATTTGTAATATGAAAAATAATATAAAAAGCAATTAAATCATATTCACTCAAGCAGGGAGAATGAATTATTATAGATTTTTAAATTTGGGTGTTAATAAATACCATTTAATAAACTATGTCACCTGCTAGCTTCCTATTTTAACTAATTATTCTTGCCAAATAGGTGCCTAGCTCAGCTGATGCTAAACTACTAAAAGAAGGCATGTTTTAAATTTTTGCACTCTATATTTTGGTATCCTGGATCAAAGCTCCAATCCGTCTGCCCCAGGCTCCACTTGTCCCACAAGTTATCTCACAACTCTCAGTATCAAAAAATCCTTCATTCATCTTTAACTTAAGTCTTATATCATGATATGGTTAAAATGTGTTTCCCTCTTCTCTGAAGGATAGCCCTTGTTTAGCTGTCTGAGTCAGCCCTTCCTCATGGGATGTTAGGAAGCAGTGGATCCTCTAAGCTATAAAGATATGGGTCCCTAAGGCCTAGTTGGTGAAAATATTCACATTTTCCTTCTCTTCTCCCAGGATATGGGTGCTGGGCTGGCTGTGGTGCCCCTAATGGCCCTGTTGGAAAGCATCACTATTGCCAAAACCTTTGGTAAGGTCTGCTTGCTAAAAACACCCTTTCCTTGGCATGTCCCTGAATCCAGGCCTCCCTCTGTTTGGGATTCGTCTTTATAATTCCTCTAATGCCCTGGCCTACCCTTTACCCCTTCACTGGGACACATTGGTTGGAGGGGGTTCCAAGGACTCATTCACATTAATAACTGTTTTTTTCTCTTTGTTTTCTTTAGCATCTCAGAACAACTACCACATTGATTCCAACCAAGAGCTGCTGGCCATTGGTAAGACTTTAGCCACAGATTTCCATAGATGGTCTTGTTGAGTTGTTGAATTAAAGGAATCTTCTAACTTAGGCTGGACCAAGAATGGGACTTATGTAAACCAGGAACGCACAAGCATTTATTAAGTGCTTCCTATATGCCAAGTACTGCGCTAACATTTGATTCTCACAACAAACCTGGGAAGTAGGTGCTAACATCCTGATTTTACAGTTGAAGAAACTGAGGCAGATTGAGTGCTTTGCCCACTGTCACACAGCTAATAAGTATCTCAGTTTGGATTTGAACTCAAAACTCAGCTCCTTCCGACTCTAGGCCCAGTGCGTTATATACAGTGCCACCTAGCTGCCTAGGAGGAGATTAAAGAATATATTCTTACCACATTAACATAATTTTAATTAGATTTTTATGAGTTCATTTTAAACATGGAACAGCCTTGAACCTTATGGACTTGGCCAAGTTTAGGCTTAGCCCATGACATTTGGCCTATGAGCAGAAGTGAGATTTTTTTTGGGGGGGGAGCGGTCTGTTTTTTATGCTTGTTGTCGCTATTGTTTGTTTTTATGATGGCTCCCTGGTTAAATTAATTATTTAAATGAGGAACAGGTTAAATTCTATTTTTTTAAATGGAAAAAAGCAAACACTAAGTAATGGGGTGGTTGGAAACATTGTTGTTCTTTTTTCGCAGTTGTAAAAACTTCGATTAAAATATATGGAGGAACAGAAAGAAAGTTTCTTCTGATCCATTGAGATTATTGAGGTATCTTGTAAAAGACAGTAGCACCAGAAATGCCAAAAGTACTAGCTGGCTTGTTCTCAATGGAAAAGCAAAGAGAACGTAAGTTGTCTTTAACGATCAGGCAGTTAGAGGGCAGAAGCAAATCAGCTTTAAATTGCTGGGCTGGTTTTCTTGTTTGTTTGTTTGTTTTCTTTTGGTTAGCCAATGGGGTTAAGTTATTTGCCCAGGTTCACACAGCTAGTAAGTGTTGTGTGTCTGAGACCAAATCTGAACTCAGGTCCTCCTGAATCCAGGGCCAGTGCTCTATCCACTGTACCACTTAGGCTGCCTCAGTTTTTTTTTTTAAACATGCACTGAAGTTGGAGGACCATTTAATTGATATGTTGATTACTAAGGTGAAGAAGTCAATGTTAATGAAGTTTGGCACTAATCAGCTATAGGAGAAAAGTATACTTTTTGATCCAGAGGTGTTTTGGGGGCATGCCTTGGACCCTAAGGAGTTGAGGGTTATAAATGGTTAAGAGTGGTTGTAGGGTTAAGAGTGATTAAGAATTAGAGAAAGTTCTTTTAAAAAAACCCTCAAGTTTAACCTATTACTACCCTGAGGAATGCTACTTTCCAAGGAGCAGCTTCTAGCATAGGTAAATAAGACAGTATTCTGGACTTTTAAGGAATATGGATGGTTGTAAGAGAAGACTGGGAGAGTTTACAGACGATTTACTTTTGCAAAATCAAATCAATCGGTTGCTGGATACCAGAGCAGATAGAGTGCTGGATCTGGAGTCAGAAAGACCTGAGTTCAAATGCAGCCTCAGGTACTTGCTAGCTGTGTGACCCTGGGCAAGTCATTTAACTTCTGTCTACTTTAGCTTCCTCATCTGTAAAATGGGGATGATAATAATAGCACCTAACTCCAGAGGTTAATGGACCAAATGAGATAACATTTGTAAAGTGCTTTGCACACCTTAAAGTGCTGTATAAATTCCAGCTATCATCATCATCATCATCATCTTTGGTTCTAAGTTTAGTTCTTTTTAATTAGTAATTTATCATAATTGTCCCCATTCACTTCTAAAGAGCCAGTGGTAAGCAAATCACCACCTGCTGCATGGGATTATTGCACATGAGCCTAAGTTGAGGCATCTTGGCACCTGTGTGAGTTTGTTCCACTGGTGCCAATAAGTCCCAGCATGGACCTTGATTCTTATAGAGACTGGATAGCTTCATGAAGAAGTTCTGTGTCTCTAGATCACCGTCCTTGCAAATATAGGCATTGGCTCCAAAAGAGACCAGAGGAGAGAACATGGCTGGCTCAGTGCAGCCCATTCTTACATCTCAAGAGTACAGCATTCTGGTGGACTTGATGGTGGGTCAGGAGTGCCATCTTTGTATATGAAAATGTGAATTCACTAAGATTTCAGCATGAAGTTATACATAGATAAGGCAATACATACAGGATAGAGAGAGAGGTCAGAAGTAAGAGCAGGCAGGGAACAAATAGAGACTGTGAAACTTAGAAAACCAGAGATAGAAATATTTGGAATGAAGGACTAGTAACTCACCTAACTGGAACAATTAGTTTTTTGTAACTAAAGCAAAGGAGTGGCATCAACAGTTTTGAATGGAAATGCCCGCATTTGGAACTGACACAATCAGTCTGTGTGGATTCAAATCTCCATCATTAATGTCCTAACACATAGACTGTAACAATGTCTTCCTGAGAGATCAAAGCTGGAGTTATTCCTTTGTTGACCTTATTCTATTTCTCATGTTTCTCCATCTTGGCTTCTTCTTGGTGTGGAGTTTGGGGCAGATTAAATGCTGGCCCACTTGATCTAGCTGTGCCGTGGGTATGGAGCTTTGTCTCATGCTGAGCTATATCCTAAGCAGGACACAAAAGGATTACATTGTATGTGTGATCATGTGTGGCTGTGGCAGCTGGGAGGGGTTTGTAGTTTGAAAACTGGATCCTAGTTTGGGCCAGGTTGAGGTTATTAAAAGTCAGACCTGCAGTTGGTTAGAACCTGTGGCCCAAATTATAGATCTGTACAGGTCAGGTATCTTTGCATATAGAAAAACTCCATCTTAGTAATAGGTGTTATATCCTTGATCTTGGACAGGGAAGTTACTAGAATATAATTACCATGAAAACAGGAACCATTTGTGAATCCTTATTTTCAAGGATTTTGAATTCACTTCAAGGTGATCTTGACAGTAAGTGGCTGTTAAGTCTGTTGACACTTGTGATTATCCCTGTCTTAGCTGTCAGAGAGGCAGTGTACCATAATGGATAGTGTTAGTCTTGGAGTCAGGCAGACCTGAGTTCAAAGTTTGCTTTTGATACTAATTGTGTGGCCATAGATAATGCACTGAACTCACCTGAGCCTCAGTTTCCTCATTTGTTAAAGGAGAGGCTTGGATTAGATGGAGATGGCCTCTTGGGTCTTTTCCATCTCGAAATCTTTTATTTAGTCTTTCTATTTCCCCCAATGCTCAGCACAGTGTTTGTTTAATGAGGGTCTGAATCGGGAGGCCAGACATCTTGTAATTGTGCATTCTTGGACACAAAGAGAACCATGTAAGACTAGAAGATGCAGCTCATTTCCAAAACAGTTTATATTTGTCACATACACATTTGTATCAATCAGTCCTTATTACATTTCTGATTAATGCTCCTTGGCCAGCCACAGTTAGTTCCCTACTCTACCTCTACCTCTGGAGATGCTCCTTACTCTCACTAACCAGATTCTCTCCCTTTTTTCTTTTAGGCCTCACCAATTTACTGGGCTCCTTTGTTTCCTCCTACCCTGTCACAGGCAGCTTTGGACGGTGAGTAATCAGATTCCTACTTTTCCTTTGGCTCCCAGTGTCCTGCATCCCTAGTCTCTGCCCAAGCAGAGGACTCCATGGCCTGAAGACAAGCAATCCACACTCTTGTCCTCTGCAGCCTAGGGAATTACCTCCCAGCTCTTAAGACGGGTAGAAGCCTTGTCACTTAGGCCTGCCAAGCCCTTGGCCAAGATTTTGGTATTTTCAGAAATGATACATGGTAGGGACAGAGAAATGGCCAGGGCCTTGTTGTAGAGTCTGAGTTGGGAGACATAACCTAGTCCCTCACAGATGCTTTTGTGCACACTTTCTCTGGGATGTCATCCTCTGTCCTTTCCTCTTTTAGTTTTTTTGGATATCCAAATGCTACCCAGCCCCTCCCAAGATCATCATAAATCCCAACTTCTTTAGAAAGCCTCCTCAGACCTTCTAGCCCACATTGATTTCTCCTGCCTCTGAACTCTTGCCCTCATTATCTGAATGTTCCCTTTGCCAATTAATCTTGCAATTCTTTGTAATATCATTCTTATTATCATATATTATTACTTAAATCTTATATTGTTGCTTCATTTTTAACAAAATAAATATATCATTGTCTCTCCTGTGTGGTTCACAGCACATAGCAGGTGTTTATTACAGGGGTGAGAAACCTGCAGCCTCAAGGCCCCATGTGGCTCTCAAAGTCCTTCAGAAGTTTGGATTCAGGCAAATGGCCACCCTTGAGGACCTAGAGGACCACATGTGGCCTCAAGGCTGCAGGTTCCCCACCTGGTTTATTAGATTCTTCAAATTTCATTCATATAATAGAGAGACTGGTTTTAAAGCTTCTTCTCTTCCTCATTTTCTTTCCTTGGAACTTAAGTATCCTGATTTCTAGGCCCTCTACTCTAATATACCAACGTACTGCTGCTCTAGGATCCCAGTTTGGATTCTGCTTTTGTTGACAGCCTAGGAGAGTTACTCCAAGGGTCAAAGGTCTTGGGTTTTATTTCACTAAGTCTTTTCATCTTCTCCCTACTCCCAGAATTCCTTAGACCCTCTCCCCTTCTCCCCATTCTATCCTATATATGTTGGTAGATTGTCTCTCCCTAGTTATAAGCTTAGCTTCTTTGGGTCAAGGACTTTCTCGCTTTTGTATACATTTTCTCAGTGCTTAGCACAATATGACAAATAATAAGATCTTAATAAGTGGTTTTTCATTCATTCATTCCCAGAGCTCTGAATCTAGCTTTTTTTTTTCTGCCTCTTAGTCCTTGGCCACCAAATGAATTTTTCTCTTTAATAAAAAAATAGCACTTAGGGGCAGCTAGGTGGCACAGTAGATAGAGCTCTGGCCTTGTAGTCAGGAGGGCCTGAGTTCAAATTCAGCCTTGGACACTTGATACTTACTAGCTGTGTGACCCTGGGCAAGTCACGTAACCCCAAATACCTCACCAAAAAAGAAAAAAGCAAAAAAAAATTTTTTTTAAAGATAGCACTTAGCTTGACTCAGATCAATAAGCATTTAACTAGCTGGAGAAATAACCTTCAGTTTAGAATTCCTAGTCTGTACCCCACCTCCAAGCATCCTCCAACATTCTGTAGGGATTAAGCATTTGAATTGCCTTTCAGGACAGCAGTGAATGCCCAAACAGGGGTATGTACTCCAGCAGGAGGACTGGTGACAGGTAAGGAAGTCTCCTGGCAGGGATGCTTCTTCCATCATTGCATTGGTAAGCAAGTATGACTTGAGGGAAGGGAAAATTTTGCGGGGCATCCAAGAGATACTTTTGTTATTGACTAAGCCTGACTCAGGCTGGTTTGATAGCTCAGGATCAAGATTGAAACAAAATGAGGAACTTAGGGAACATTTTTAGAAATTATTTTTTAAAATAAGTTTTTATTGGTAACATTTGTTTTTATATTGGCCATATTCTCACTGTAGCTCTCCTCCCACTTCCCAGAGAGCCATCACATATAACAGATTGTATTTTTTAAAGAAAAAGAGGAAGAAAGAAAAAAAAACAGCAAAATTTATCAATACATCTAAAAAGCCCTGAAAATATATGCAGTGTTCCACATTTGTTGACTTCCCACCTTTCTCCTTTGCAGCTGTGTTTGTTGCCTGTAACTTTGTAACATTCATTTTTCTTTTTTTTTGTTTTTGTGGTTATGCTCATGAAACACTTAAAGGAGGTTTACTTAGCCATTGTGGGAAAGGGATACCTAGCAAGAACATAGTGCTTGACTTAGGTAGATGTGGCCTCCCACATCTCTGTACAGAAATTCACCTGGTCTGCAGGGGAGAGAGTGATGCCTCTTAAAGCTACACGAATTCCCTTAAGTCTGAAGGTCTCTGACTCCTCTCTTAGGCTGGCCTCTTTTATGCCTTTTTGGCAATCTGGAAGTGTCAATGACTTGAACCTTAACCCCTAGAACCAATCAGGTCTTAAGAACAAATTTAAAAAAAATTTTTTTTGGGGGGGAAGAGAAATGGAGGACCCTAACCTAGTCTTCCTGATGCGGACCCTGGTAGATAGTGCATATTACACCCTTCCATAATATATCCAACTAGTTGTTATATAGTAATAGCTAATAATAGCTAACATTTACATAGCTTTTACTATGTGCCAGCAACTGCACTAAGCACTTTACAATTATTAATTTATTTGATCCTCACAACAACCTGGGAAGGTAAGTGCTATTATTATCCCCATTTTTCAGATGAAGAAACTAAGCAAACAGGGTTAAAGGACTTGCCCAGGACCACACAACTAGGAAGTGTCTGAGGCTAGATTTGAACTCAGGTCTTCCTCAGTCCAAGCCCAACACTCTATCCACTGAAATATCTATATGGTCTCTACTTGAAAACTTCTAATGATTAGAAATGCTCCCTATCTTTCAAGGTGACATTTTTCAACTTGACGCAATTCTAATTATTAGGAAGTTCTTTCTTATACTGAAATGAAATTTTGCCTCTAAAATATCCAACAATTTTTTTTTAGTTCCGCCAAAAGAAATTCATTGCTACTTTCTCTTTGCCAAAATTTTGTTTAACATTTTTGAATTAATATTTATTTGTGATATTGGTTTATAGTTCTCTTTCTTTGCTTAATCTTTTCCTAGTTTGAGTATTAGGATTATATTTGTCTCATAAGTGGAAGTTGATAATGTTTTTTCTTTTTCAATTTTTGAAAATAATTAATATAGTGTAGGTAATAGGAGGACTACAGACAAAAGAAAAATGGAAAAGATTTGCAAAAAACATTTCAACAAACTTTATTTCCATCAAAGATAACACATACTTGGACCCTAACATCACAGTCCCTGACATATGTGTATGCATGTGTGTGCATGTATATATACATATGCATATTTACAAATATACATATATGTCATCCTCATAAAAATTTTGAATAGATAAGGCAGTAGGCACATAGGTTGCTTGTGATTTCTCTTGGTTACCTTCATATGTATGTATGTATGCATATGATACACACATATGTATATATATATACATATATATGTATACGGAGTTCTAGATGAAGACTACACTAGTGATTTTCCTCCTGGTTAACATTGGTCCATTAATCAACACTAAGACCAGATTTTCAACCAATTCCAAATCTAGTTAACTGTACCATCTTTTTTCCTTGTTAATCACTTACAGTTTTATCATCAGAATTTTATTTCTGAGAACTTTCCATCCCTTCTTTTTCTATGATCTCTTTCTGAATCTCAGGCCATTGGATTCTATCTCTTTGTTGTATAAATGCATGGTCCATGGGGTCACAAAGAGGCAGACGTATCTGATTAGCTCAACAACAACAACAACAACATAGAAACATCCTATTGGTGTTGTCCAAAAATAGAACGAGGGGCAGCTAGGTGGCGCATTGGATAGAACACTGGCCCTGGGTTCAGGAAGACCTCAGTCACATAACAGTCACTACCGGTGTGACTCTGGGCAAGTCACTTAACCCCAATTGCCTCACCAAAACAAACCAAAACAAAACAAAACAAAAACCAAAAATAGAACGAGCTACCTTCAGAGATGGAGGGTTCCCTCTTCTTGAAAGTCTTCAAGCAGAGGCTGGCTAACCCCTTTTCAGGTGTGTTATAGTAGAAATTCCTTTGGTGTACATGGATTGGACTAATTGGCCTCCAAGGTCCCTTCCAACACTCAGATTCTGTGATTCTGGGCCCGAGCTTCTGGAATCTTCGCCTGTTAACTTAGAATCACGTGTATTTTGTCTCCCCTATTTCTTTTTTTGTTTGTTTGTTTGTTTGTTTGTTTTGTTTTTGGCTAGGCAATGGGGTTAAGTGACTTGCCCAGAGTCACACAGCTAGTAAGTGTTATGTGTCTGAGGCCGGATTTGAGCTCAGGTCCTCCTGAATTCAGGGCCAGTGCTCTATCCACTGTGCCACCTAGCTGCCCCTTCCCCTATTTCATAGTGGTCATTCATCCTGTTTTATTTTTGCTCTCTTGTCTCCCTAGGAGTCCTGGTAATGCTATCTCTCGCTTACTTGACTCCACTTTTCTACTATATTCCCAAGGCTGCTCTGGCGGCTGTCATCATTACAGCTGTTGCCCCCCTGTTTGATGCGAAAATCTTATGGACGGTCTGGCGTGTGAAAAGTATGTATTTCCACTCTTTTTACCAAATCAGTTCTAGGTATTGAGATCAAGATTAAATTGGAGTTTGTACTAGATCAAGACTGGGGCCTGGTGGTTCACAGTTCCAGGGGGTCATCAGGAAGGTGTTGTAAGCAGGGAATTTGTTTGGGGAAGGGATTTGCATGATAGAGTCCTACAGGGAAATAGTAAGAGGAGAGCTCCACATTCCATGGGTGTGACCCACTCTCAAGGGATCCCTGGGTAAATCCGCCAGCTCTTGACCCTTCAAAGTATTCTCTTCTACTCCTTCCATCCCTCTCCTGCCATGCCTTTAAGCCAAAGGCCCCTACCTATGGGCCAGTACTTATAAGCATTCTTCTGAAGGCCCAGGCCCATATCTCAAAGAGATAAGATCAAGAAAAGAATTCACATGTATAAAATTCACAGCAGCTATCTTTGTAGCAGCAAAAAACTGGAAACTAAGGGAACTGGGAAACAGTTGGATAAATTATGGTAAATGTAGTGGAATATTATTGTGCTATAAGAAATGGCAAAAGCAAAGGGTTTAGAGAAACCTGGGAAGACTTGTATAAAGTGGTCCAGAGTGATGTGAGAGGGACCAAGAGAACAATTTATTTAATAACTACATCATAAAGACAACTTAGAAAGACTTAAGAACTCTAATCAGGGGGGCAGCTAAGTGGCACAGTGGGTAGAGCACTGACCCTGAAGTCAGGAGGATCTAAGTTCAAATCCAGACTCAGACACTTACTAGCTGTGTGACCTTGGGCAAGTCACTTAATCCCAATTTCCACCCCCCCCCCAAAAAAAAGGAAATCTGATCAGTACATGACCGGGGGATCCATGAACCATGCTACCCACCCCATAACAGAGAGGTGATGAACTCAAGTTGCACATTGAGACATAAGAAGAGAAAAAGAATGCACACCAGGGGAGGAGAAGGAGGGGGAGAAAAAATTTAAAACTCAAAATCTTATGGAACTGAATGTTGAAAACTAAAAATAAATAAAGTAATTATTTAAAAAAGAAAAGGAAAGGAAAATTGCTCCCTTATAATCAATTTACATAATGGCTATGTCTGAAAATATATGTTTCACTCTGTACATCTAGGTCATCTTCTGTGGAAAGTATGACTCACCATCAGTCATCTGGCGTCATGACTAGTCACTATGACGATCATAGGTCTTAAGTCTTTCACTGGTGTTTTCCTTCACAGTGTTGTAGTCATTACGTGAATTGTTCTCTGCATCATTTTATACAAGTCCGCTAAGGTATACCTGAATCCATCCCTTATGACATTTCATATATTGCCTTAATATTCCGTTATATTCATTTACCATGATTTGTTCAGCCATTTCCCAATTTATGGGCACCAACTTTATGTTGTGGTAAAGAGCTGCACACAGAGAGCTGCTATAAATATTTTTATATATGTGGGTCCTTTTGCTCTGTCTTTGATCTTTTTCAGGATATAAGCCTAGTTTATTGTATTTTGGGGATCTAGTTCCAAATTGCTTTCCAGAATGATTGGAACATTTAACAGCTCCACAAACCATGAATGAAGATGCGATAATCCATGGCAACTGGCTCTGTCCCTGCTTTTGTTGTGATAGGCCGGTGTTGGGAATCTGGCTTAGGGTCCCTGATTATTAGAGTTTGCAATGACTTATGGATCCTCCCCCTCTCTTCTGTGTGTTTTCCGCCACCTCCACCCCTCACCACTTCCTCAGACCCCTGGGTGGTTGGTTTCATTTTTGTTGGCCGAAGCTCAAACTTGCTTCCCTGGTGTAGTTCTCTCCATATTTTTCTCTGATTTCCACTTGGATTAGCTGAGTTCACACTGGCTTCTCTGGGTGTGACCCTTCTCTTCACTGCTACTGGCCTCCCCATTTACCTGTATGCATGTTGGTTTCCCTGGAAGATAACTTTAGCTACTTGTACCAATTTCGGGGGGGGGGTGTTTTAGAATTCATAGAATCTTTAACAGAGTAATGCCTGGGACAAGGAAAAGGAAAAGAATTAGGATGCAAGATATTTAAATTTCATTTTAATTTAACTGAAACTCCTTTATGACCTAGAAAACAAGCATTGACTAAACAGAAATTTTAAATTATCTTTTTTTTAATTTCATTTCCATTTCTGTACATACCCCTCCCTGCTTCCCATCCCTGTGAGCCAACCCTTGTGTAACAGGATATTTAACACCCCTGTTGGTGGGGCTGAGATGGTGCTAAAGAACAAATGAGGCGAGGAATTTGCCAGCTAAGTATTCTAGGAAGTTGAGTCCGGTACCTCAAGAAACAGCATGATCTCCAGGGCCTAGGAGAGAGACATCAGGACATTACATTCACTCAAAGAGGTTTGAACTAGTCTATAACAGGAGTCAGGGGAGACATATGGACAGATAGATGGCAGAGACAGAGAATAGTTTTGAGCATGTCCAGGTTCCACCAGGGAGGCCAGAGTTTTCATCTACTGGAGACAGGCAGGACAGCAGTGACTGACATGAGAGGCAAGCCCAGTCATTAATGCACTTTTCCCTGACCAAGAATCTAACTGGCTGGGAGAATGTCTTCTCCCTTCCATTTTCTTTTCCCCTTTCTTTTCTCAATCCAAAGCAGGCAAAAGTTTAGATCCAAAGCTCCTAGTTTCTTTTCAGGCCGATTCCTACTGTCTCCATGGTACTTTAAATCTGTCTTTCTCTAGACAGTGGATGGAATAGATGTCAATTATTTTATATGTACATCTTTAACTGTATTCACAGTGTGTAAACAGGAAGAACTGATTGTTAGATGATCTAGATCTTAACAGGCTAGGAAGCTTCCTTTATAACATAGAGCAGAGATCCTGATCTCTGGCTAGTTGTTAGAAGATCCCTAATTGGGTGCACAATGAGCTATTATTGCATTTTATTAACTATACTAATTTATAATTCTATAAACTTCTCTAGACAGAGTTTTAAAACTGAATCTAGGGCTATTGCCTGTAGATTACTGAGTCTGATGTGTGATCTGGGTGTGGCTTATTAAATTAAATTAAATTAAATTGAGGTTAACAACCAGAATAAGGTGGAAGGGGGAAGAAGAAAGTCGGTCAGTGAGGCAAACTGTATCTCCTTCACCTCTTCCCTCACCAGAAGGGAGGGAGAGATCAAGAATAAATAGATACAAGAAGGGAAGATCTTGCCTTTGTGGTGGCCAATGATTAAAAATAGTCTCAGTCTGAGAGGATTCCATTCTGCCCTTTTCCCTTGAGGGAAGTGGAAAGAATGAATGAGCTAACCTGGCTCTCCACAGCACCATGTACTGGTTACCCTTGTAACAAAAAAATAGAAAAGGAAGGTTAAAAAAAAAAGCAGTTTAGCAAATCCAACCTTAGTCTGACAGTATATGTAAAGATCTCCTCTCTAGCTCTGCAAAGAAGGGAGGGAAGTACATTTTCTCACATCTTTTCTGGAGCTTTACACAGTATTAAGCTTCAGGTTTTTGTTCTTTTCCTTTTAAATCGTTGTAGTTAATGGGGATGGGGCAGCTAGATGACTCAGTGGATAGAGTGCTAGGCCCAGAGTCAAGAACAGCTGAGTTCAAATCTGGCCTCAGACACTTACTAGCTATGTGACCCTGGACAAGTCACTTAACCTCTGTTTGCCTTACTCCACTGCAGAAGGAAATGGCAAGCCACTCTAGTATTTTCCCCCATGGACAGTATGGTCCACCAGGTCACAAAGAGTAGGACATGACTGAACAACTGAACAATGACAAAAATCACTGTGAATATCATTTTCGTGGTTTGGCTTATTTTGCTCTGTATCAGTTTATATGTCTTCCCATACTTCTCTGAATTATTCCTATTTCTCATTTCTTATGAGTACTTCAGTTGGAATTGACTTTCAAAACCACCATGGTAAACACTTGGGGTGGAGATGAATCTATTTTTCTAATATGTCAGAGGCAGCGATGGAATTTTGGTGGCTAGCAAGGGAATGGACTAGTTCTAGGATCAGAAAAAAACTATCATCCTATCTGACTCAGGCATTAGGTGTGGGGCAGACTAAAACCAGTGATATTCTCCCAGTACCCACTCAGCTGATCATTTGCATCTCTCTTTTCCAGGGCTGGATTTGGTGCCATTGTGTGTAACTTTCTTGCTCTGTTTTTGGGAAGTGCAGTATGGCATCCTGGCTGGGATCCTGGTGTCTGGAATACTCATACTTTACCATGTAGCCAGACCCCAGATTCAGGTAATGACCCTAACCAAGAAGTAGGATGGTTTTTCCTCCTAAGCTTCTTTCTCTTCTCTACCTCCCATCGCCTTAGACATTAATAAGATGGAGGTGTTCCTGTAGGAGGCAATTAAAGTAAGTGTTGCTGGTAGGGAAGGCAAGTATCAATGAAGCAAATCTATGTACATAAAACCTTGCCCTTGTAAGTTTCTGTTATATCTGCATCTCTCCAAAATTATGCTAAAATGGATTATCACTGTTGTCCCTCAGGGAAATAGACAACCTTGAAAGGGATTGTAGATTATCTATATTAATAACATTTGTTTTAAAAAAATAATAATAGCAGCAGCTGCTAGGTGGCACAGTGGATAGAGCACCAGCCCTGAAGTCAGGAGGACCTGAGTTCAAATCTGGCCTCAGACCAATCACTTAGCACTTACTAGCGGGGTGACCCTGGGCGCATCACTTACCCCCAATTGCCTAAAAATGAAAAAAAAACCTAGAATATGTGTATACCTACATATATATATATATATATATATATATATATATATATACATACACATCTGTATGTACATATTTACTGTATATATACATATGTATGTATATACACATTCTGTAACAGTTAAAATTAAGGTAGACTGAGGCACAAAGTTCTAAGCACAATTTATTAGTAAAGCATATATTTACCAATAAATAGAATCTCAGCTTCCCCAGCAAAACCAAGACCCCAAATGAAGGTCTTTTATAGCTCTCTTTTATGAGCTTTCTTTTATATTTGAGGAGTACAGAAAATAGCAAGGCTAGCACCATAGATGGAAGAAAAAATGATTGGATAAAAATTGGGAATGAGGGCTAGAAACAACTCCCTCCTTCTTTCCTGTGACTAAGAAATGCTCATTGTTTGAGTTCAGCTACATTGGCAAGCACAGAGATAACAAACAAACCAGACTTCTTGAAGAATAGCTTGGTGCTCTAAAGATACTAGACCAGACTCCCTATTGTCCACCTGCATCCTTTAAGGGTAACAGATTTCCTTGACACAAGAATAGAACAGTGATTAACAGGCAAACTGGATTTCTAAACTTAACTCATTACAGGATGACTGAATTTCTAAACTAAGTTCATGATTTCATAAATTAAGTTCATAAGTTCTAAATTAAGAATCATGACTTAGGCAGTTACAGGACAAAATCAATTAACTACAAATAGAATCAATAAAAAGACACAGAATCAATCTGATAATTTCTTTTTATTTATTTACTTACTTATATATTTGTTTGTTTGTTTGTTTTTTGCTCTCAGCATTCACTTCCATAAGATTCTGAGTTCCAAATTTTCTCCCCATCCCTCCCCTCCCCCTACTCCAACATGGCATGCAATTTGAGACAGGCTATCATATACATTCATATTAAACCTATTTTCACATTAGTCATGTTGTAAAGAAGAAATCGATCCAGTAGGAAGAACCATGAGAAAGAAGAAACAAATGAAAAAAAAAAGAGAGAGAGCAAATAATTTGCTTTGATCTGCATTCAGGCTCCATAGTTCTTTTTTTGGATGTGGACAGCATTTTTCATCATGAGTCTTTGGGAGTTTTCTTAGATCCCTGCATTGCTAAGAAGAGATAGGTATATCAAAGTTCAATCTGATTATTTTAATTCTATACATATATTCATATATATGGTCATATATACACACACATTTATGTGTATGTGTTATACATAATACTTATATATAATATATTACATATACTATATGTATAATGTTTTATACACATACACATATATCTAAGGTTTGCAAAACACTATACATGTTGTCTCATTTGACCTTCACAGCTGTGTGAAGGGGTTTTATTATTATTCTCATTTTACAGATGAGGAAACTTCAGGGTCACACAGCTAATAAGTGTCTAAGCTACTTCTTTTTTTGTCTAATTAATGTCTTTTGTTTTTGTATTACTTTTATTTCCAAATATATCTCTCCCCACCCCTGCGTACCCAGGAAGCCATCCCTTCTGACAAAGAATAGAGAGAAAAAGAGAAATTTAGCAAAATGAACACATCAGCCAAAGTCTGACGGGATATGCATTATTCTATACCTATCGTCCCCCACTTCTGCAAAGAAGAGAAAGAAGTGAATTTTCTCATCTTCCTCAGATCCAAGCTTGGTCATTATAATTACAGTGTTCAGTTTCATCATCATCATCATCATCATTAGTGTCGTCATAGTAGACCAATTACTTATAAGAAAATGTGCTCAGTTTGGTACTATCTTAACCCCTTGTGGTGGTGACAGCTCTTGGTACTGATGGACCCACCATCACAGTAGACAGGAGGAAATACAAAGAAGGGATTGGACGTGAATGGGGGGGGGCAGTTAATGTTAAGCCATGTTGCTTATCTGTCTTCTTCTAGCTCAGAGTTTTCCAAACTAATTTGTCAATGGAACACTTTAAGGCTTGAAATTTGCCACAAGGTACCTAAACAATGGCCTTAGAGGCCTGGGATTATAAAATTCTCCTAGGATAAATAGGGTTTGAGGGACATTTTGGAGCAACATAGGAGAAATTGTTTACCTTCATACTGAGAAATTGTTGCACATAAATATTTTGGACCCATACACAATTGTATATTTCATATTTTTCCATTTTAATGGTTTTTATTTTAGGTCTATTTTCAAAATTATATATGGAGATTTCATTATCCATTGTTGAAATGCATTTATACAGCATAGATTCAGACCCAGATGAACCATTATAGACTATGCTTTCTAAAGCCAGTATTCCATCACTATTTTATGGGCTTTTGAAACCTCAGTTTTAAAATTAAGTGACTCTATTCCAAGTGTATAGTTGTAGACAAATATTGTATACACTTGTAGATGGTTTTTTTCCCCCAAAATTAACACAGCAAATCTGAACAGTGACACGCCTTATATAAGAGCTGTACTGAGAATAGGCTAGAAAATGGTCATTAACAGATTTAAAAATACAGTAGAACCAATACAGTTTTCTCTCAAGGAAGGGAATAATAAAACCTAGGGATAATCCTTTTGTAGACTTTGGTAATATTTCATTCCCTGTGAAAGCCCTGTTATTTATCTATTTGCTTCTACCTCAGTATTTCCCTTTTTAAAAAGCTAATTTGATATGTTTAATAAGAATGTATGTAGAGCCTATATCAGATTGGACACCATCTTGGAGAAGGAGAAGGGGAGGGAGGGGGAGAAAATTTAAAACTCAAGAGCTTATGGAGGTGAATGTTGAAAACTAAAAATAAATTAATTAATTTTAAAAAGAAAGCTAATATGAAATTCTAATCAGTTCCATATAAAAGTCCTGTGTATCAATGCCATTCATAATAGCTAATCACTTTAAGATTTGCAAAGTATTTTACAAATATTATCTCATTTGACTCTCAACAACAGCTCTGAGAGGTAAGTGCTATTATTATTATTATTATTCCAATTTTACAGATAAAGAAACTGAGTCACAAAGACATTAAATGATTTTCCCAGAGTCACACAGCTAATAAGTATATGAAGTAGGATTTGAACACAGGTCTTCCTAACTCCAATGCTAGCCCTCTATCCATTCTGTCACCTAGCTGCCTTCTTTTTGTAAGCAGGGGAAGCAAAATAGGGATGAGGTTTGGACCAGTGATTTCATTGTTTTGAGAAGTGCCTTGTAGTGAAGCTGCCTTCACTGATGCAGGTAAATGACTCATCTGTAACATATAATGAAAGAGAGTTGCTCAGGGCATTGAAAGATGAAGTGAGTTACTCATGATAACGCATGTCAAAGCCAGGACTTTATTTAGTGCATTTCTTCCTCACTCTAAGATTGTCCCACTGTATCATACTGCTTCTCTCATGGGAATTCTCATGGTTCCAACTTAAATGTTTTATTTCAAGGAGGAACAGTTCTGGAGATGTAAGAAATCTTTTGGAGAGGATAAATAGATGTGTTAGCTGTTTTAAAACAGTTAAATTTTGGAAACGCTTTTTTGTATTTATCAGAACTGGGATCCGCTTTTAAAAGTGCCCATCCAACAGAAAAGAAACTACAACTTGTTTTGCTCTTGAGGAACTCACTACTTTCATTTCTTAGACTACCCCATTACATGAACCCTCTTTTTCACTTGTTAAATATAACAACAGTTTTTTTTTCAATATTTTCACTTCCAGAGAAACAAAAGACAGAATGTCCTAAAAGTCAGCACAGTTTTAAGCCCTATAAATGAAAATACTGACAAAGTTCTAGTGTTAAATTTAGCAAGCATAAGCTTTCATAACTTACAACCACACTAAGACTTTTGGGACACCCTGTGTTTTTTGTCCCTGACTTTCCGTGTCTATGTCATGCATTGCCATGAACAAGCACACTAGGCCAACAGCTTTCAAGAGGCATAGCTCTGTTGTGATGCAATAACAGAACAGTTACCTCATGACCAGAGAAATTCCCTCTTTGTACCACAGAAGAGAATAGCTATAATGCGTGAGCAATACACCAAATTGTTTGCACTAGAGATTTTCCAAATTTCCACTTAGTAGAGATACCCAATGCATTATCACTAAAACTTCTCATTTTAGTCATTGTGAAAAAAACTCCCCAAACCCATGTTCCCAGTTAAAGCCCCCAGATGATAACCAACTAGTTTCTACCATTCCATTTTCCTCACCCTTTGAAAAAATGAAGCATTTAAAGTGGAAACATGTAAGAAGCCTTTGATTTAAACTCAGACACTTTGAATTTCCTGAAATTGCATAGCTCCTTCTCCAAAATTCCCATTTATAAGCTTGCTTTCAGATTCACACTCTGATACACACTCACACATGTACATGCTCACTCAAGTGGGATACTTTTTGTTTGTTTATAAATTATGAGGAGGGCAGCTAGGTGGCGCAGTGGATAGAGCACCAGCCTTGGATTCAGGAGGACCTGAGTTCAAATCGGCCTTAGACAAATAACACTTACTAGCTGTGTGACCCTGGGCAAGTCACTTAACCCCATTGCCTAGCCAAAAAAAAAAATTATGAGGAAAATTATGAATTAATTGTATACAGATTAATCAGATGTTTCCATAATAATGTTTGTATGATAACCCCTCTGGGATTCTCTTCCCAACTTATACTAGAATTCATGAGTTGAGTCTCTAGAGTGTAGCTGCTACTTCTGGCATGAGGGGTAGGAATACTCCATGGGCGGCTATTTCTACTAGTATAAGTCATGAGCCCTCAACAGTTCCTTATCATTACAAGTGAGCCAGTAGACCAAACTGGTGCTTAGCAAAAGCATTTACTGATAAAGCAAAGTAAAATCAGTAACTAAAAAATTCTCCTCCCCAGTTAAACCTTGGCAAATGTGCCCAGTAATACACACAAAGTCTATGGGAAAAGTGGTCATTAACTCAGGATACAGTGGTAGTAGGGCACACATGTAGGAAACATGTGGTCAAGGCTACCCACTTCTTGTACTACATGGCCTCAAAATCCTCTCTCTCTGTATGCAGTCCTCTCTGTATCTCAATTGCCAGGGCTAGCTCTCTCTTGAATCCATAGCCAGCTCCTTTCACTGATGCCGAAAGTCCCAATCCTAGAAGCTTCTTTGAGTGACTACCTCTCCATAGCTGTGTATATCTAGAGCAGCTATTCTTAATATTTTTTGTGACATGGATCCCTTTGGCAGTATAGTGAAGTCTATGGACTCCTAAGAATAATGTTTTAAAATACATAAAACAAAATATATAGGATTATAAAGGAAACCAATTATATTGAAATAAAATTATCAAAATGTTTTTTAAAATAAATGCACAGACTCCAGAATAAGAACCATCATCTTAGGAGAGTTGCTCACATAACTCTGTCAGAGGCAGGACTTGAACTTAAGTCTTCCTGACCTGGAAAACTGTCCTGCTGTTTACTAGCCCACACTGTCTTTCATCCTTATTATACAAGTGAGAAAACTGAGGCAGAGTGAGAAGTAACTTGGCTATGTTCCCACTTGAGTAAGATACAATTCAGTATTGGGACTAAAGAATCTTTGACTATTAGAGCTGGACTCAGCACCCTTTACTTTTTCCTTTTCTGATTACATGTAAAAATAACTTTTAACATTTTAAAAAAATGTTTGAGTTCCAAATTCTCTCCCTCCCTTCTTTACCCTCCTTCCTCATTGAGAAGGCAAACAGTTTGAAATAGGTTATATATGTTCAGTCATGTAAAACATTTTCATAGTAGTCATGTTGTGAAAGAAAACACAGAACCACCCTCCAAAAATGAGGAAAAAAAGTAAAAAATAGTATGTTTCTATGAGTTCTTTCTCTGGAGGTGGCTAGCATTTTTCATCATGGGTCTTTTGGAATTGTCTTGAATCTTTGTCTTAGTCACAGTAGCTAAGTCTTTCACAGATAATCATCCTTACAGTATTGCTATTACTGCGCACAATGTTCTTCTGGTTCTCCTCATTTCACTTTGCATGACTTCATAAAAGTCTTCCCAGGTTTTTCTGAGAGCATCCTGCTCATCATTTCTTATAGCACAATAATATTCCATCACAATCATATACCATAACTTATTCAGCTGTTCCCCAATTAATGGACATCCCCTCAATTTCCAGTTCTTTGCCTCCACTAAAAGAGCTGCTATAAATATTTTTGTATATATAGGTCCTTGTCCTTTTCCTTTTTTAAAAAAAAATCTCTTTGGGATATAGACCTAGTCCAGCATCCTTTTCCAAAAACAATAGGTCTGTATTAGAGATCAAGAAGTCCATGTCTACTCCATTAATCTACAGAGAAGCAAAACCGTACAGATGGTCAGGTGGTTTGAGTATTTCTACCTTCCTCTCAAATACCCTTCCAGTGAGTGAAAAATGGATATAAGGATTATTAGATGAATATTAAATTTTTTTGGTATTTGTAGCTTTATAGGTACTGTCAGGCTATGCCTTGACTATCTCAAAAGGGAGCTATCTTTTGATAAGATACTAACCTCAGAGATCAAGTGGAATTTGCACTTTTCTACTTGGGGAGAAAATAGTAGTTGTCTGAGCCCCTGGATATTCTTCTTAGAGGCCTGGCTGCCTTCAGATTGTACCAGGATTAAGGGTTTGAAAAGATTGTTTCATCCAACTGGCTTAATGAACATGGATGAATGAACAATAATAGCCTTGGTCCAGGATGCCCTGAAGAATGTGATGTTTACTTTGGGAGAGTCTGTGGAAGAGAGAAGAGCAGAAAGGACCGAGCTTTGGAGATTGGTCCCTGTTAGGAGAAAGGAGGAAACAGGTCTCCAGAGAAAGGAGACACTGAAAGGGTAGACAGAGGATGGGGTCCCTATCACTTCCTGGATCAAATATAAAAGCCTCTCTTTGGTGTTCAATACTCTTAATAGAAAGAAAGAAAGAAAGAAAGAAAGAAAGAAAGAAAGAAAGAAAGAAAGAAAGAAAGAAAGAAAGAAAGAAAGAAAGAAAGAAAGAAAAAAGAAAAGCTTCATAACTTCCTACCTTTCCAGTCTTTTTACATTTGAACTCTTCCACATACTCTTCAATCCAGTGACACTGGCCACCTTGCTGTTCCTTGAATTAGACACTAGATCTAGTGTCTAGAAAAAAAGCTCTGCATTTTTATTGGTTGTCTTCCATGCCTGAAAATCTCTCTCTTCTTATCTCTGCCTCCTAATTTCCCTAGCTTCAAGTCTCAGCTAAATATTACCTTCTGCAAGTTTTTCTTGATCCCCCTTAATTTTAGAGGGTATTGAGGAAATTAAAGAAGAAAAACAGAAGACTTGAGGTTGGACTGATTCTGTTTTGAGGTTTTGAAGAGGATAAAGAGAAGGGAATAAAAAAGAAGGAATATACCCATGTAGAAAAGAGGAAGAAAGGAGTTGAATTTGCTCTTTTGCATAACTGGAATTCATGAGAGTATACAAACATGAAGAATGATATAGGGGGAGTGGGTAACAGATGAAATTTCTATCTGAAATGTACAAAGGAAGATTTCAACACAAACATATATGTACACACTTAGTTCATACATAATAACAATCCTCATTTTCTTTTCATGTTTGATCATGGTTGTCAAGTTCAAAATAACAAAATTTTCCTTTTTTTTTTTTAAAGGAAGCACTGGGTTTGAAGTCCATAGGTGCTGGTTTCAAATTATAATTTTGCCATTTACTATCCATGTGATTGGACTTAAGCTGCTCAGTCATTTTTCAATCATGTCTGACTCTTTGTGACCCCATTTGGGGTTTTCTTGGTAAAGAGACTGGAGTGGTTTGCCATTTCCTTCTCCAGCTAGTTTTACAGATGAGGAAACTGAGGCAAACAGTGTTAAGTGACTTGTCCATTGTCACACAGTTAGTATTATCTGAGGCCAGATTTAAACTCTTGAAGATGAGTCTTCCAGGCCTGGCATTATCTACTGCACCACCCAGCTGCTCTCTGTGACTAGACTAGTGATCACAACTTCACTGGGCCTCATTTTCTTTATCTATAAAATGGGAATGATAATAATAGCACCTATGTCTTAGGGTTGTGAGGTCCAAATGAGATAATAATTATAAGGAGATTGTCACCATGCCTGGCACATAGTAAGCTCTATATAAATGTTAGCTATTATTACTACCTATGTGATTGGACTAGTGGTCACTTAACTTCATTGGACCTCAGTTTCTTCATCTGTAAAATGAAGGAGCTGGATAAGATGACTTCTAAGATCCCTTCCAACTCTCAATCTATTATCTCTAAGGTTCTATTTAGCTCCAGCATCCTACGGCTGAGAGACAGTATAGTGTAATAATAGAGTTGAATTTGAAGTGAGGAAAATCCTGCTTTTGCTACTTACCAGGTGGGTTGTGGTGAGACCAAAATAACATGTTATAGGTAAAGAACTTTGCAGAACTTAAAAGTGCTCGATACACATACATATACATATATACATACATGTATATATGCATGTACACAATATACATATATACCTATATACTTGTATTATATACTATGTATTATATACACATACTATGTATTATGTACATATATACTATTATATGTACTATGTATTATATGCATATATAATATGTACACATATATGTACATGTAAAATATATACGCAAAATATACACACACATATAAACATATACTATGTATTATATATAAACATACTATATACACATACATATACCACATATACTGTATACATATATGCATGCATACATACATACATACATACATTATATATTTATACACACACTATTGTTATTATGGTTCTGTGATGGGATGAGCATACTTGGTGTGCTCATCAGAACCCAAGACAAGAACAGAAAGAACCTAGGACTCTTATCTTCCCCCATCCCCTCACCCCTTGGTCTCTCTTCTCCTGTCCATCAGCAGGTATCAAAAGGCCCCGTGCTTATCCTGCAGCCCATTAGTGGCCTTCACTTTCCAGCAGTTGAAGCTCTTCGGGAGACTATATATAGCCAGGCTTTCTCAGGTAAGGCTCTAGAGACTGTGGGTTGGTGTGGGGAGTGGAACCAGTTCCCTACATTCCTGTTGCTTCCTTCCATCTATCTCCTCTCCTCCTTCAAGGAGGCTATATGCTAGAACCTGAGAATCTAGGCAACTAATTCTCTTCAGGTAAGTTCATCTGGGTCTCTGATGTAGAAATTTCTACTGTATACCAAAGTACAAATACTTACCTTACCTCCATGTGTGCATTTCTACTGCAAAGGCTCCACCAGTGGTTCCCAAGTGGTTTCATTCCATTTTATCCCACTTTCTAGATTTTTTTTGGGGGGGTGGCTAGGCAATGGGGTTAAGTCACACAGCTAGTAAGTGTTGTGTCTGAGGCCAAATTTGAACTCAGGTCCTCCTGATTCCAGGGCCGGTGCTCTATCCACTGTGCCACCTAGCTGCCCCTACTTTCTAGAACCTTCCCAGGAATTGAAACCAAGCTTACTAGCTTGTGGTTTGCAAGCACTGTTCTCTTCCCTTATTTAAAAATTGGAACATTTGCCCTTCTCTAATCTGTCACACTTCTTCCATTTTTTGTGATCTTTCAAATATCACTACTCAGTAAACATATCTGCTGGTTCTTTCAGTACTGGTAGGGGTAGTTCATCAGGGTCAGATGACTTGAATTCCACAAATGCAGCAGTCAGGTGCTACTTAGCACCTTAGGGAGGGATTGGTTAGGCATTCCTGAGGCTTAGAAAATGTTTGTTGAATGAATACTAACCAAAACTCTTTCTTGATTGTTCACTCCAGCATCACCCCCATGTTGTACCATCTTGGACTGTACCCATGTCAGCAACATTGATTATACAGTGGTGACAGGACTTGGGGAATTGCTAGAGGAGTTTGGAAATCGTGGGGCCTCCTTAGTTTTTGTCAAGTTACAGGTATGTTTTTCATGGGGAGGCCAGGGGTCATCCCACAGAGGGGACTGAGGCTATGTGTACAACATAATCAGTAATCAGCAATCCTAAAAAAAATTCATGATAAACTGAATGACTGCTGACAAAACAAGCAATGACATATTAATAATTGTTAAATATTTAATTAATATTCATGAAATAAGGAATATAATTTTACATAAAACTCTGGGCATTTAACAAGATTTGTTGTTCAGTCATGTCCAACTCTTTGTGATTCCATTTGGGGTTTTCTTGGTAAAGATACTGAAGTGGTTTGCCATTTCCTTCTCTGGCTCTTTGTACAAATGAGGAAACTGAGGCAGCCAGTGTTAAATGACTTGCCAAGGTCACTTAACTGGTAAGTGTGATTTGAACTCATGAAGATGAGTCTTTCTGATTCCAAGCCCAATGCTCTATCCATTGTGCCACCTAACTGCTTTTGAACAAGGTAGAAATGAATGAGTTGAAGAACTCTTCTAATGGAAAGAGTTCTGGATTTGAGAGTCAGAAGATGTAGGCTGAGATTTCAGCTCTGCTGCTTATTATCTGTGTGACCTTGGGCAAGTCACTAAAGTTCTCATAGGTAAAAATGGTGGGGAGAGAATGCAAGGGATTATCCTACGTGACCTCTAAGATCTTTTCTAGCTCTAGGTCCTGATTTATGAACAATAAATTGTTAACAAAATATATTTGCTCCATGTCTCCTTCCAGTTCTGTTTGACCTTCATTATCTCTGACTTTCTTTCCTTTCCCTTTCTTTTCAGGGTAGTCAGTGTGTATGGACTTTAGGTTCTGCTGATCTCACTTTTCATTACTTCATATGGATCTTAACGTATTTCCTTGAGTACTTCAAAGTTAACCTTTTTATATTACCCCAATATTTAATTACATTTATATTAATAACAATAAGTTTACTTTTTCAGCCATTCTCCAATTTTGGGGTCATAAAAGTTACTTATAATTTTTTTTTAGAGGCAACTAGGTGGGTAAGAGTTCTGGACTTAGAGTAAGGAAGACCTGAGTTCAAATCCTGTCTCAGACACTTAATAGCTGTATGATTCTGGGCAAGTTATTTAACCTCTGTTTGCCCCAATTTCCTCATTTGTAAAATGGGGATAATAATAACTCCTACCTCTCGGAGTTGTTGGGAGCATTAAATGATATAATATGAGATAAGTGCTTTGCAAAACTAAAATGCTTATTTTGTTGTATTACAAATATGGCACCTATAAATAAGATCGATTATAGGATCGCAGAAGTAGAATTGAAAAATTGCTTAGATGTCATGTAGCTCATTTCTTCATTTTGAAAATAAAGAAACATTGTTTGGGGGCAGCTGGGTGGCCACAGTGGATAGAGCACCGGCCCTGAAGTCAGGAGGACCTGAGTTCAAATGTGGCCTCAGACCAAACACTTGACATTTACTACCTGTGTGACTCCCTGGGCAAGTCACTTAACCCCAATTGCCTAAAAATAAAAAAAATTTTTTTAAAAAGAAACATTGTTTGTACAGGTACAATTCAACAGGCCTTTATTTAACATCTGTATCAAGGAAAGTACTGGAATAAAAAGACAAAACTGACATGGTCCAGGCTTTCAGCTCCAGTGCCTCCCTATTACCTCTAAGATCAAATATAAAATCCTTGTTTGGAGTTGCTGAAGCTACTTTCTTTATGGCCCCAGCACTTGAGACAATGCCTAGCACATAGTAGGGCTTAATCAATGCTTCTTTCTTGCTTGCTTTTTTTCTGCTGTGGATGGGGAGAATACTACATGTACATGGATAAGTAAGAATTTTAGTAGAGAAAGGGTACTAAGATCTTGGAGGGCTGATGGTCAGAAAAGGCTCCATTAGGAGGTAAGGCTTGAAAAAAGCTGGAGAGGTCACAGAGCTAAGAAATGTCAGACACAGAATGTTAATCCAGTTCTTCCTGAATCTAAGTCCAGTACTTTTTCCATGATACCTCACTACCTTTTAGAAGTAGTAGTTAAATCCAGCTCTCTGCCTTACTTTATGGATGAAAGAATTAACTACATTCCTCAACTCCTGGCCTTCATCTCTTCCTTAGGCTCCTGTTCTTTCTGACCTTCTGTCTGCTGACCTGAAAGGATTCCAACATTTCTCCACCCTTGAAGAAGCAGGTTGGTGTGATTCAGCCCAACGCTACATCAATGTACTGGCTCTCTCTTCCATTCTCAGTGCAAGCAGAATAAATTAAAATAGGTGTACAATACATTGGGGCAGATTTAAATTAGACAATAAAATGGATTACTGAGTAGCAGAACGAATTGCCATGGGAGGGCTTAAAATCTCCTGCTCCAAGGTTTTTTAATGTAAGATGTATACATGCCTTTGTAAGATGTGTAAATCCACATGAGATGTCTAAATGGATAAGTAAATAGTTTGAGGGGAGGCATTGGTAGATGTCTCTATAATCTTGTCTTCTGTTCTCCAAGAGAGACTATGATTCCAGGCCATGAATCTGGCTACTCAGTTTCCCTTGGAGAGAGGGATAGTAAACTAGAATTATATCCACATGAGCCTCCCTAAATATTGATGACGTAGGGGCATAATTGGTTCAGAACAAATCCACTAGAGTCCCTGGTTGCTATTCCTTAAATAAGTGGGGAGGGTAGCCCTTACCTTATACTCACCAGTTCAACTTCTTCCCAGTCTAGAGGCTTTTTTTCTGAACCAATTGTACCTCTAGATCTTGGAGGCCCCTCAGCGCCAGGCAAAGGAGTCAAAATCCTTTTCAGCATGAAGACCCCAAGAGAGCCATCTTATCTAATTGAGTGCCTTGACCTTCCTCTATTCTCCCCAAATCCCTGTGATCTGTTGTCTTCCTTTCAGAGAAATACCTGAGTGAAGAGTGAATGTCAATGAAGACTCCACCAGAACCAGATTGTCCCACTAATGCTAACCAATTGGCCTTATTCTATGGCAAGAGATGATGAAAAGACCTCTCTATCAGCATATGCCATTGATCTGTGAGCTTTTCTTGTGATGTCTTTTGGACTGGTGTACCCAAAGAAAACCCCAGTAGGTGGTGCTATGGAGAAATGATGGAAGAAAAACCTATTTATCTTAAAATGGACTAGGACCTTTGGGGAGCAGCACTTGGAGCATCTGGCTAGGATGAGTGATAATTTCTAATTGAAAATGGTTCTTGTTCCTCTTCTCACTTCCTTGACCCACTCCTTTTACCACTCGTCCACATTTAGATTACCTATTGCAACCAGCAAGAGAGCTTCCTATCAAATCTCAAGCAATACAAGGGCCTTCCCTTAAGCTTTGCCCTCAGAATCGAGTCATGTAGATATAAAGAGATCCCTTAACCTAGGGCTTTGGTTGGGTTTTGGACCTTGGAAGCTGTATTGAGAAGGGAACGAGCATGGGAGTGAAGGCAGGAGCAGACTCCATCAGGGATGATTCCCTGAGTCTATTATTCTAGCATTAGAGGGAGGATAATGACTCTCCTTGATAATAAAATCAGAACTGGAAAGGACCTAAGCAAATGTCTAGCCTGTCCCTCTCACTTTACAGGTGAGGAAAGTGAGGACCAGAGAAGTTAAGGAGTGACCCATCCATGTGACTTTGGATAGTAATTATCAGAGCTGGGATTAGAGCTCAGATCATGGCACAATGGATAGAGTACCGGACCTGAAATTAGAAAGACTAATCTTCCTGAATTCAAATCTGGCCTCAGATACTTCTAGTTGTGTGACCCTGGGCAAGTCACTTAACCCTGTCTGCAACAGTTTCCTCATCTGTAAAATGAGTTAGAGAAGGAAATGGCAAACCACTCCAGTATCTCTGCCAAGAAGATACCAAATGAGGTCATGGAGAGTCAGACATGACTGAAAAGACTCAACAGTAACAATAACAACCTCTTACTCAAAACCCAGTGCTTCTACAACTGGTACCATGCAGCCTTCCATAATTAACTGCTATGAAAAAGTGAAGCTTTTCTTTTTTCTTTCGTTTTGCCTTCTGTTCGGGGCAGACCTGACTTAGTCCAGCATGCTACTAGTTTAAGTTCAGTAAGTTATTGCACAGTTAACAAAAAGAGGTTTATTTAGCCCTGACATAGAAATGATATTCAACAAGGATAATGTAGCACTTTGCACTAGTAAATGTGACCTCCCTGTCCCCTCCCCCCCATCTCTTTATGGTCAGCTGGTCACAGTGTGATGGCTCCCCCAGACCTTAGACATCTACCAACTCTGAAAGGCCATTCTTGGTGCGCTTCTCGGGTGAGCTGTTTTATGCCTTTAGGTGACCAGGAAAACACATTGATACAGCCAGAGGCTACCAGGAGGCTGCTCGAGGGAGGCACAGCTTGCACTTTGCCCCAGCCCAAGTCCTGGCTTTGGGCTCTTTTATGGAAAAGCTGGCCTAGTCATATTGGGGAATAGGGAACCCTTGTAAAACACTGGTCCTTTGGACTGATGCACCTTCTGTCTTACTATATCCCACTGTCAAGGGCTGTTCCAAAGCTCCCCCTTAATCCCCCAGCCCCACTTCCCACTCACAGGTTTGGATATTCCCTTCTCACCAGCAAACTGCTGCTGTTTCTTATCCCCCTACTTCCTCATCCTGTCCTGGCAGGAGGAATCTCTGATGTAAAGAAACAGCAGGTGACACAGTGGGGTAAGAGCAGTGGACCAGGAGTCAGGAAGACCTAGGTTCAAATCTAGCTTCAGACACTAACTGTGACTCTGAGCAAGTCACTTCACCTCTACCTCAACTTTCTTATCTGTAAAAGGCAATAATAATAGCAGCTTCTATCTCCCAGGGTTGTTGTGAGGAAAAAATGAGATAATATTTGTAAAGCACTTTGCAAACCTTAAAGCTCTATATAAATGCTAGCTATTGTTATTCTTTGATGCTTGGTTGAAGGATTTAATCCAATTGCCTTCTTTGCTCTGATGAAAGTACTTAGATTGGGGAGGGCACAGCAGTGAGGAAAGACCACGTGTGGCCCTTAATAAAAGGATTTGTTCTGTAAAACTTGAACTGAGGTCAAAAGGCCACACCCAAGGACCTAGAAGGCCAGATGTAGCCTCCAGGCCACAAGTTCCCCACGCCTGTAGACTAGAGTATTAAAGCCTAATAATAGTACACAGGAGAGAAATCACCACTGTGAGGATCTAAAGTCATAATGTGAATATGAGGAGTGGGGAGGGGAAAGTTGAGCTGCTGAATTCTCATTTCCTGCCCAAGAGGGACAAATATCCTATTATTATAACAAACTTTCCCTCCTTCCTCATACAATGGAGTCATTAGGAAAAATGACTTTATTAGGAAGAGAAAATGGTGGAACACACTTTCCTTCTTCTAAGCCAGTTCCTCACATCTCTCCCCTTTTTTCTATCTTCCCAGTTTCTGTAAGGCTTTGGGGGTGGGGATGACTAGAATGGGAATCTGCTGCCTGTCTCCATGCTCACAGGCCCCTGTATATGTTTGATAGGTTTCAAACCTCCTTGGAACAATAAAGATTCCCCCACTTTTTCCCCCTTGCTTTCTTGCAAAGTGTTAGGTGGGTGGTTTGAGGGCAGGATTTCACAGAATTATGAAACTTATGTTGCTTGGCCCCAGCAATGAAAGTGAAAGCAAAGCTTGAAGTGAAATGTCATGCCATTAAAGGTGTCAACCATTTATCAAAAGTTTGGTCCAAAGAAACAAACAGAATCAGTTTTCCCCTTAACCAAAGGTTTGTCCTAAGAACAAACAGAATGGAGTTCCCCCTACTGAAAGTTTGTTCAAGAACAAACAGAATGGGGTTCACCTTACCAAAGGTTTGAACAACGTACAAACAGAATCAGGCTGTACATGTGCTATAATGTACTTGTTTGTTCTCATTAAGCCAGAGAATCATGCATGATGGAGTCAGAAAATAATTCTGAACTCAGAGGTAAACAAACTGAAGGAGATCTTTTGTACACTTAGAGCAATCCCAACTCAGGAAGCCTGTCAACCAAAATTATAGCCTCCATATGTGTAAAGGAAATTTGAGAAAGAAGATTTCTTAATAGAATAGGTTATAAATACAGTAAGATACCAGAACTGTCAAGGTGTCAATTGAATTACAGATCCAGGATGTGTGTTTCTTTTATCATTAACATGACATAATATGATGTAAGAAAAGTCCCATTATTCAAAGATAGCATCCGGTTCAAGGTGCCTTTTCCTGGACAGTCATAAATAGAAGAATACTCCTGATCAGCTTCATCCAACCTTGTAATTGCTGACACAGGAAGGGGAATTTTGGGTTCACTCAGAGAGCAAAGCAAAGCATGTCTGTTATGCCAGAGCACAGAAAGCATTATGGTGCAAAAATGTCTTTCTCCTGATTAGCCAATCCAGGTTTTAGGCCTTTCTCAGGTGAGCTCATAATGGTTCACAAAGGCAACGATCATGTTTTGCCTACTTTGTTTAAGACTCTTAGGGGAGAAAAGGAAGATGCTTCTATCACAGACTACTAACTGATCCAATAGGAAGGAATGTTGTAGGAACCTGATTTGATCCATTTCTTCCCTTACAGGATTCTTCTGTAGATATTGGATATATGGGTGTCATACTCAGATAAACCTATGAAATTATTGATTGCACTCCCCTCTCCTCCCTGCCCAGCTTCGTTTCAATAGCTGGAGCTTTGATAATAAAACCATAGAATATTAGAATTGGAGGACTCGGGGATTACTGGAAAGGTGAGGAAGTGAGGCCTAGAACATCCCACTGAATGATTGTGCCGACTCAAAAAGAAGCTGCCAGGATAGGATCTCAACATTTCTAAGGCTTGGCGTTCCTGTATTTCTGAACCCTCTATCTCAGGCTCCATCTCAGCATGTGGTACCTCATCTCTAATATCAGTTTCCCCTATTTCCAGAGACAGGCATGATGAGATAGTGGAAGAAGCACCAGAATCTCAGAGTGGAAAGAAATCTCAGGGTTTATCTGATCTAACCTTTACCTGGAGAAGAATCTGTCCTGGGATGTACCTGCCAACTAGCCATCCTGTCTCTGCTTGAATCTATTTCCTCCAAAGGCAGCTCAGGACACTTTGGGGACAGCTCTAATTGTGAAGAAGTTATTCAAATATCAAGCCACATTTACCTCTTTGCAATTCTTGCCTATTGTTTGTAGTTCTGCCCTTTGTAACCAGGCAAGAAAGTCTAATTCTCTCTTCCTATGATAGCGTTTCAAATATTGGAAGATTGTTATCCCCACCCCCACTCCGAAGTCCTCTCTTCTCCAGGATAAATGTCTCTACTTCCTTCCAAACAAATCTGTATTCAATGTGATCTTGAGGCCTCTCACCATTCTGTACACTGTCCTCTAGGCACAGCCCAGTCTTTCCTAAAATGTGGCTTCTCCTCATCTCTAACTCCGGACTTCCTGGATTCCTTCAAGTGCCAGCTAAAATCTTAACTTCTTTAGGAAGTCTTGGGGCAGCTAGGTGAAGCCGTGGATAGAGCACTGGCCCTGGAGTCAGGAGGACTTGAGTTCAAATCTGGTCTCAGACCAGGTACTTGACACTTACTAGCTGTGTGACCCTGGGCAAGACGCACTTAACTGCAATTACCTCGCCAAAAAACAAACAAACAAGCAAACAAACCAAAAAAAAACCAAACTTAAAAACAAAAGAAGTCTTTCCAAATCCACCTGAATGCTAATGTCTTCCCTGTGCTGTAATCTCCAATTTATCTTGTCTCTGTCTTGTTTGTACACAGTTGTTTTCATGCAATCTCTCTATTAGACTGTGAACTTGAGAGCTTTCTATATGGAACTATCTTTCACCTTTTTTTGTAGTCCCAGAACATAGCACAATGTCTGGCATGTGATAAGCACTTAATAAATACTTATTGGCTGGCTGACTGACCGACCACTGGGCTTCTTGATTTCTTGAAAAGGCAATTTATTTCAAAGCTTTACCACATAGGTTCTTCTATTAGAGATAATATAAAAAAACAGGCACTCCAAACTTCCTTACAACAAAGAATCGACACAGAATCTGAGTTTAAACAGCTACTTCCTGTTAAGGGTTTCTAAAAGATTTAAAGCCTCAAAGGCTGATTTGTACAAATAAATAAACTTACATAGTGATCTGATTCTTTTGGAGCCATACAGTAATTACAGCAACTGTTTCATTACATTACAAACTAGTGATATAGCATCAGAAAGGGAAACAACTTTAAAAATAAATTAAATGAAAGGCACATTCCAAAGCAAAGTATACAAAAAGTTCATTTTTTTGGTTTTGTTTTCTGAGGTAGGAGGAAGGGAGATGGCCATAAAGTCTTTCCAAATGAAACTGTTTCTATCAGGCAAAGTGGAGAGTTTAAATTGGCTTCATTTCTTTCCTTGGCTTTTGGAAATGTGATTAGTTCTTCAAGTGGAAATGATATACCAGCGTCTGGGACAAGCAGTTGATAAAATGGAACTCGGCTTCTGACAAAAACTGTTGGGAAAACTGGAAAGCAGTTTGGCAGAAACTAGGTTATAGACCAACAGCTCATGTCATACACCAAGATAATGTCAAAATAGGGTGATATTTTATTTTTTAGGCTTTTATTTAGTAATTTATTTTCCCCCAGTTACGTGTAAAACAAATTTTAACATTTGTTTTTAAAACTTTGAGTTCCAAATTCTCTCTCTTCTCCCTCCCAACCCCCCCAATTGAGAAGGCAAGCAATTTGACATAGGTTATACATATGTAGTCATGCAAAACATATTCATAATAGTCATGCTGTGAAAGAAAATATAGACAAGAAAAAAACTCAAGAAAAATAAAGTAAAAAAAAAGTATGCTTCAATCTATATTCAGACAGCAACAGTTCTTTCTCTGGGAATAGAGAGCATTTTTCATCATAAGTCCTTCAGAGTTGTCTTGGATCATTGTATTGATGACAATAGCTAAGTCATTCACGGCTGATCATCTTACAATATTGCTGTTACTTTGTACACAGTACATTTCACTTTGCATCAGCTCATGCAAGTCTTTCCAGGTTTTTCTGAGAGTATCCTGCTCATCATTTTTTATAGTACAATAGTATTCTATCATAATCACATACTACAACTTGTTCAGCCATTCCCCAATTGATGGGCATCCCCTTAACTTCTAATTTTTAACACCAGAAAAGAGCTGCCATAAATATTTTTGTACATATAAGTCCTTTTCCTTTTTGTCTCTTTTGGGATACAGACCTCGTAGTGGTATTGCTAGGTCAGTCAAAGGGTATGCATGGTTTTATAACCCTTTGGGCATAAATCCAAATTGTTCTACAGAATTGTTTGAATCAGTTCACAACTCTACCAACAATGCATTAAACTCTCATTTTTCCCATATCCCCTCCAATATTTCTCATTTATCTCCTCTGTCCTATTAGCCAATCTAAAACAAATGAGGTAGTAGCTCAGAATTGTTTTAATTTGCATTCCTCCAATCAATAAATAGTGAGAGTAATTTTTTCATATGGCTATAGATAGCTTTGATTACTTCATCTGAAAACTGATCATATCTTTTGATCACTTATCAATTAGGGAATGGCTTTTATTTTATAAATTTGACTCAGTTCTCTATATGTTTGAGAAATGAGGCCCTTATTAGAGAAACTTGCTTCTAAATTTTTTTCACAGTTACTATTGCTAATTATATTTCCCTCCCTCCTATCCCCCCATTATTCTATTCTCTCTCTCCTTTCACTCTGTCCCTCCTCAAAAATGTTTTGATTCTGACTATCATCTCCCCCAATCTGCCTTCCCTTCTATCACTCCCCTCCCTCTTTCTCTTATCCCTTTCCTCTCCTACTTTCCTTTAGGGTAAGATAGATTTCTATACCCAAATGAGTATGTGTGTTATTCCCTCTTTGAGCCAGTTCTGATGAGCCAATTCACTTCCCCTCACCTCCCTCTTCTTCCCCTCCACTGCAAAAGCTTTTACTTGTCTCTTTTACATGAGATAATTTACCTAATTCTACCTCTCCCTTTCTATTTCTCCCAGTAGATTTCTCTCATCCCTTAATTTTATTTTTAGATACCATCCCTTCATATTCAACTCACATCTGCGCCCTCTATCTATATATGTTCCTTCTAACTACCCTAATAATGATAAAGGTCTTATGAGTTACAAACATCATCTTCCCATGCAGGAATGTAAACAGTTTAAACTTATTAAGTCTCTTATGATTCTCCTTTCCTGTTTATCTTTTTATACCCCTTTTAAGTCTTGTATTTGAAAGTCAAATTTTCTATTCAGCTCTGGTCTTTTCATCAAGTACTCTATCTCTTTGAATATCCATTTTACCCCCTGAAAAAGTATACTCAGTTTGGCTGGGTAGGTGATTCTTGGTTGTAATCCTAGTTCCTTTGCCCTTTGGCATATCATATTCCAAGCCCTCCAGTCCTTTAATGTAGAAACTGCTAAATCTTGTGTTATCCTGACTGTGGCTCCATGATACTTGAATTGTTTCTTTCTGGCTGCTTGCAGTATTTTCTCTTTTATCTGGGAACTTTGGAATTTGACTACAATATTTTTGGGAGTTTTCATTTTGGCATCTCTTTCAGGAGGTGATTGTTGATTCTTTCAATTTCTATTTTATCCTCTGGTTCTAGAATATCAGGGCAGTTTTCCTTGATAATTTCTTAAATGATATCTTGCCTCCTTGTTTTGATCATGGCTTTGTGCAGCTGTTTTCAGAGATACTTCTAGGAAACAGTAAATCTTCAGTTCTTCCAAGGTGGTATGATCTAAGGAGAAGTGTTTACTACTCTCCTGGCCTATGCTTTGGTCTGTGAGAGATCACAAGTACTCTTTTCTGCCCTGGAACTATGAGGAAGGTCTCCCTTCCACTGCGGCTGCACACTGTGCTATTCTAGTGCTCCTCACCACCTCAGGACTGCTACCTAGGACCCATATCTAAGTATGGGCAAAGCAACAGAGTCTTGCCTCAGTGCTAGCAAAAAGATCCCTGTAATCTCCTTTTGACCAGTTGTTTGACCCTCTTACCATTTGTGGGCTGAGAGCTCTGGAAACAGTCACTGCTCCTGCTGCTGCTGTTTCAGTCACTCCCAAGGCCTGCTCCCGGTTTGCAGGGGCCAGGGCTGTGTTGGTGCCACCTGTGCTAGACTGTGTTGCACTCACCTAGGCATGAGGGACCTTTCCTGCTGAACTTCTGAGTTGTCTGTGGTATCTGTGGGCTAAGAGGTCTGGAAACTGCCACTGCTGTGAGTGATTTAGTCACCCCAAGGCCTGCTCTGGCTTTGCTGGGGCCTAGTCTGCACTGACATGGCCTGCGCTAGACTGTGTTCCTCTCTCACCATGGCGCAACAGACCTTTCTTGCAGACCTTTCAAGTTGTCTTGGGCAGGAAATTTGTTTCTCTCCATCTTTTTGTGAGCTCTGCTGCTCTAGAATTTGTTTAGAGCAATTTTTAAAAGGTATTTGGAGGGTTCGGGGGAGAGCTCAAGTGAGTCCCTGCCTTTACTCTGCCATCTTGGCTCTGCTAATTTAAGCAAATTAGTAGATCATGGAATAGTTTACCTGTCAGATCTATGGATAAGGGAAGAATTTATGATCAAGCAAAAGATAGAGAGCATTATGGGATGTAAAAAGGATAATTTTGGTTACATTGAATTAAAAAGGTTTTGCAAAAACAAAACCAATGCAGCCAAGATGAGAAGGAAGGCACAAAATCAGGGGGAAATTTTTACAATAAATTTCTCTAATAAAGGCCTTATTTCTCAAATATATAGAGAACTGAGTTAAATTTATAAGAATATGAGTCATTCTCCAATTGATAAATGGTCAAAGGATATGAACAGGCAGTTTTCAGATGAAAAAAAATCAAACCTTTCCATAGCCATATGAAAAAATGCTTTAAATCACTATTGATTAGAGAAATGCCAATTAGAGCAACTCTGAGTTACCATCTCACACCCATCACATTGGTTAACATGACAAAAAAGGAAAATGAAAAATGTTGGAGAGGAACTGGGAAATTTGGGACACTAATGCACTGTTGGTGGAATTGTGAATGATCCAACCATTCTGGAGAGCAATTTGCAACTATGTCCAAAGGGCTATAAAACTATGCATACCCTTTGAACCACTACTAGATCTGTGTATCAAAGAGATTTAAAAAATGACTTACATGTACAAAAATATTTATGGCAGCTCTTCTTGTGATGGCAAAGAATTGGAAATTGAGGAGATGCCCATCAATTAGGGAATGGTTGAACAAATTGTGATATATGATTTTGTTGTAATATTCTTGTGTTATAAAAATGATGAGTAGGATGCTTTCAGAAAAATCTGGGAAGACTTACATGAACTGATGCAAAGTGATGTGAGAAGAACCAGGAGGACAATTTACACAGTAACAACAATATTGTATGATGATCACCTGTGAATGACTTAGCTATTCTCAGCAATACAAAGATCCAAGACAATTTTAGAGGACTTATGATTAAAA